GTGAAAGTGATGTTCTAGCTAACTATTTTCAAGACCAGTTTGATCCTATTTTTTTAAAAAATCTCTTCTATTGTTTTCTTCTGTCTTTGGTTGGTATAGCTTTTTTGTTATTCCAGGGTCTTTTTATAAAATCTTTTGGGCAATGGAGAGTGATGTGGCTTAAAGGTGGAAGGGGCAAGTAAATGGATGTGGCTAATTGGTATTACTCTTTTCCAGAAAAGCCAGAAAGCCAAGTGACGATCAGGCTAGAATTAGAATGATGTATGTTCCACAGATCATTGTAGTTTAGAAATCATATTTAGTTAAATATCTAAATATGACATTTAAGTTGAAATAAATGTGTGACCTCTGGTTGTCCCGGTCAATGGAAATTGAAGGCAACATTCACACTTGGGAAATAATAGAAATGGTTTTGTAGATGATGTCTTATCATTGAAGTTTATGTCTAAGGTCAGATTTCACTACTGCAGCATTTTGACTTCAATAAGTACTTTCCTCTCATCCTTAAAAATCATTCAATAAATATTCACTGAGGACCTCTCTTGGTGATATAGCTTACAATATCATGATAGAAACAATTATGGAGAGGAGAAATGGAATTTTAAGAAGACTAAGGAATAAGCAAGCTTTTTCAGTGACAGATAAAAGTAATTAGATCCCCATCTGAGTTAAATCTTGGTTTGAAACATGGTTCTGCTTTTTCCTAGCTCTGTGATCTAGAGCAAATTATTTAACCTTTCTGCCCCTTTTTCTTATTAAAGTGATAATACCTATCTCACAGTTATAAGGGATAAGTGAGGTAATAAAGTGCTTAGCATATATAATAAATGCAAATGTTGCTATTCTCATGTAATTGAAAATTTTCACCAAAATTATTTTGTGCTTATTTAAGGTAACAGGTCAACCTTATGTTCAACAGACACTCTGCCTTTTACTTCCACTGCTGGGATTTTTCATTCAAACTCTAGATCCTCAGCTGATAAGTCAGGTAAGAATAGTGAGCAAGTTATCTGTTCTTCTCTATCTCCTTGATGCTGAGTAGTCAGACCTTTTTCATTGTTGCTGCTAACTGCTCAGGAAAAATCCCTGAGGTTAGGAGTCATAGTTTACGTGTGAACCCTGCATTCATAGCATTTTCAAAGGCATGCCAGCAGCTGTGGGAGTGTGGAATATAACCACCATGGACTTAAGGATAATCCTCATTGTTTCTCTGAAGAAATAAAATGACTAAGGAGGAGCGCTACTGAATTTTCTCTCTGGCCCCCAGCTTGCGTGGCAGAACAGGGGTCACTGTGGGATCCGTGTGGTGTTGCCTCAGGTATGCCTCGCTTTTGGAGGTTCTAAGCGATGGAGAGAGGGAAAAACGGAGAAGGCCTTCATCTTACCTGAAGTGATTTGAGGCTTTGGAATGAGTCCATACTGGACAGACTTGATCCCCAAATACAGAAGTGGCTTAAGCTTACAGTCACTTAAGAAACAAAAGCTGTCCCAAGGTAAAGCTAACCTTTCCTATTTAGGAGGATGACAGAAGTAGTAATACCCTGTCACAGCATATTGCAGAGAGAGACTAGCAACACTTCGCTTTTAGTAACTCTGGTTTCTGGTTGTGCACATGAAGAACTTAGCATTAACAAGTATTTACTAATTAGGGATATTTTAAATTACCATTATGTGTAATTACAGGGAATGAGAATATAATAAAATAATTGACTCAAATTCTGTTGATTCTGAAGATTCTAGTTGTTTTTGAAAAATTAGTGATCGTTTTAATGTAAATAATTTTGCCTACCTTCAAAAACTCCAAATAACATTTTAAAATTTCAACATAGTTGTTCATTTAGATATTGCCTCCTTTATAGACTAGCTCAGTGCTCCTTTAAACCAAGGGTTGGCAAATTATGGCCTCCTGGCTAGATTCTGCCCTCCTGTTTTCAGCACAAGTGCTAAGGATGATTTTTACATTTTTAAAGGTTAAAAAAAATGTGTGCGTGTGTGTGTGTGTGTGTGTGTATGTATATATATGTAACAGGGAACATGTTGCCTGCAAAGCCTAAAATATTTACCATCTGGCCCTTTACAGAAAGTTGGCCAACCCATGTTTTAAATAATGAACTTCTCTCTCTAGAATTTAAAATACAAAATAATTTTTGAAGATTTAAAAGAAGAGCACTGGTATATCATTTTTCAGAAACACATGGATTTTTCATTTTTTTTACAATGGTTGGTAGGACTGATGTTGTAATGATTGACTCAGTCATTTTGTTTTATTAAAATTCCACCTGTGAAGTGTAGGCTTTGTGGAATGTTCGACTGTCCTGGGTTTGGTTTTGTTTCCCCTCCTACATACCCATCAAAATCTTAGTCATGTCTCTACAAAGCATTTGTTTTCATTTATAACTGTTTTTTGGTCTTTGTGCCCTTAGGTAATAACTTTGCAGACCTCACTACTCAAATCAGAGCCTCCTGACCATGTTCGTTTGGCAGTTCTTGATTTTCTGTCTTCCCTGGGAAAACTTTTTATACCTCAAGCCATCCAGGTAATAATACTCTCTTAATTCTTTTGTTCCCATGTTAACAAAATCTCTAAGAATTACTGATCGATTTTCAGTCTTTAATTTCTGAAATTCTGTGGATTGTTGACAAAGAAAATTGGGGGAAAAATATATTTTGTGAAGAGACGGTGACTGTCAAAATAGAACTCATTTTATTTACTTTTAGAAAAATATATGTTGACATACAAGTAATTTATAGTGTTGGCTATGGTGTGAGATTTATTCTAGTCGGGCTCTAGCACACAAAGTTCCTGAGGAAGGAAAACATATTTATGTCTTCTAGAGAGTGGTGTATAATGAGGAAATGGGGTGATTTATAAAAGTTATTCTCTTGGTTTTATATCCATGAAAGGCAGCCTGTTTGTTTAAGACGATATTTTTGAAAATGTTGCAAAGTATATATAGAGTTGACAAATGGATATTTATAAAACTGTAAAGGCCTGGCAATACACTTCTACTGAACTTTACGATATGCTTCACAGCAAAAGGAGGTCTTCCTCCTAAATTGAGTTTTTTCTTCCTTATTACTGTCTGGTCAAAACAACAATTCTAGACAGTTGACCTTTTTTTCCCACCTCCACGGGAGATATTATACTATAAAGAGTTCAGTGATGAGAACTTTTTACGTTAACTTGAGCAAAAACATGATGGACGGACATTATCTCAGTACGTGTTGATTAAAACCTTTGAAACCAAAAATTGAACTGGTTAGTTTCTAAAGGGCTGTCTTGTTCACAGGTAAACAATACCATACCATTTGTTTTCATCACGTAAGGTGTCTCATGAGATAAGTGTGTACTCGCCAGCTTCTTTTCAACTCTCTGGACAAAAGTATTCAAAGATGCTTGGATTTGAGCTATCTTCTTTTTAGCATAAAACGAATGTATTCTAAAATGCTGCTTCATTAGTGCATAACTACTGACCCTAATGGGCCCAGAACCTATGGAACAAATGTTTTATTAGCAGACATTACCTTACATATTCCCAGGAGTGAAGTTAAGGTGTGAAGAAATTTTGGGGATTCATCAGCATATGAGAGGCATTTGAAGCCACATGATGAAATTGATTCATTTATTCATTCAAGAAAAAACTTAAGTTCTTGCTATGTGTCAGGCACTATTTTAATCACTGGGGATTCAGTAATGAATGAAACTAATAAATACTGACTCTCAACTGTTGTGAGGCAACAGACTAATAAAGTGGGGATATATGTAGTGTACTAAATGGTGGCGAGTGCTACGGAGAGAAATAAAGCAGGGAAGGGGAAGAAAGAATGTGTATGTTACGGGGGCAGAGTCTTAAATCGAACTTTGTCACTGGAGTCCTCACCACGGTGACATGTGGGTAAAACCTGAAGCTGAGAGAGCAAGCCAAGCAGGTATCTGGGGAAAGCATTTCCAGAGCAGGGGAAATAGTAAATGGAAGTCCCCGAGATGGGAGCACGCCTGATAGGAGAGCTAACGCAGAGGAAGTGGGGCTTTGCAGGCTGTGGTGAGGACTTTGGTTTTTACTCTGAGGGAAACGGGAAGCTACTGGAAGGATTTGAGCAGAAGAGTGGCATGATTTAACATGTTTTAACACGTGTTCACTGGGACAGAATTGTGGAAATTTGACGACGTTAGAATAATCGGTGTACTCTGCTGAGGTTTTCCTCTATTTAATAAGGTTTGGTTTTCTTTTTAGGACAAAATTCTGCCCCACCTGTCTTCTGTTTTTGCCTTACTGCTAGCTGACAGGAATTGGCTACTAGAACAACATTCCTTGGAGGCGTTTACTCAGTTTGCTGAGGTAATTAGAAGGCCAGTCTATCACAGTGACCTCTAAAATAATTTAGTATCTCAGATATTCCAAAACATTCCAGAAACATTTATTGAGCTGCTTTTTTATCTCAGTCATAATATTTTCTGCTGGAGGATATATTACTAGTCATCTATTTTACAGGACCTAAAAATGAGGCCCAGAGAAGTGAGGTGACTTTCCTAAGGTCCTATGAGTAGTAACAATCAGAACAGGCGTTCAGACCAGGTGTACTAACTCAGACACTGTTTTGGGGTCGATTGAGAGTACATTTCATCTCCACCTATCACAGGGGCTAGAGTTTGATGAACACAGACCTGTTAGCTTGGTTCTGTAGAGAAGGCGACCCTGCCGTTGGGTTACTTTTACCCACTGTAGTGCAGCGTGCCTGTGGTCATAAGGGGGCCCAGAGATGTTGGGATGACTGGGCAGAAGTCATTACAGCTTACAGCTCCACACTTGTGCAGAATATTGTATTAATTATCCTAAGGCATCCTGAAATAACTATGAGCTTATTATCTTTTGAGTATCCTCTGGCACTGAGTATTTTCTTTTAAAATGCATTTTTAATTAAGGTAGCTCTTAAAACTCATGTACTTGTCTTTGCAAGCTGTTGAAATATATTGAAATTAGTTTTGTCAAATCTTTTAATAGGGAACAAATCATGAAGAGATAGTTCCACAATGTCTCAGTTCTGAAGAAACAAAGAAGAAAGTTGTATCTTTTCTGGAGAAGGTATTTTATTTATATAGAATCAAAATAGTAGTGGCACATACTTTTGTTCTTTATCATGTTACTTTTTTTTTCAAATTATAACCAAGTTGAATATCTTTGTTAGCTCCAGTTTTTCACAGTGCTTAACACAGTGGTGACCCGCATTATTATTAAGCAGTTGGGACCTCATTACAAGTCAGAAGTAAAACACTTTGGAGTTGCTCTGCCTGTAGTTTGGGATACTATTGCATTGATCATTCAGGCAGTGAGATGAAGAATGAGGATCCCTCACCCGTTACTCATCATAATTAGATTCACATGTAGAATCGTAGGCCTGCGAGGATCATGTTCACTCCTGTAATTTAGTCATGGCTTTTCCAAACAGTGACTTTCCAAACTGTTGAATCATATGGCTCCCATATTTGTGCATGCTTTGAAACTTATATGGAGATAGTGGTAGGATGTAAGTTAAAGGTTAATTGAAGCACTCATAGAACAGTTACACCACAAATTTAGAATGCTAGGAGAAAGTGAATTATGCTTAAGTACTTAATTTTTTAATATAGTCTCATTATTGAACTGGACTGTGTCTCTTATTATTTTTATATATGCATATATTACATATCAGCTGGATGATAAGTAAGTGTGTGCACATGTTGCTTTTAACAATTTCTCACCCTATTCAGTAAAGGCTATCAGACTATCATTTTTCTGTAGGGAAGGAGAACACTGTGGAATAATTTTACCCAAATTACACTGAGGATACATTTACAGATGACTCCAGCTTACTTCCAAATTTGCTTAGTTCACAGGCTAAACCAGAGCAGTTTAACATCCGGCACTTAAACACGCAGGCCTTTCACCTTCTGAATATCACACCATTTTAATATTGAGTAGAGAATGCTAATGTTGATGTTTGCTTGGTTTTTCATGGTCTCTGGCAGACGGGGTTTGTAGACGAAACTGCAGCTGCCAGAGTGGAACGTGTCAAACAGGAAAAAGGTACTTTCTGGGAGCCCTTTGCTAAAGTTACTGTAGAAGAAGCAAAGAAGTCATCTTTACAGGTATGGACTGCTTTTCAGTGTGGATCAAGCTTTAATAAGAAATTCTGCCTTATTACTTACTGATAAAACAGAAACTAGCATGGTTCTTGGCCTCATACTGAATATCAAAATAAATAGATCTAGACATGTAAAATTGTTTTATGGTAGCTACTCTTAAAAATCACATTTCTTCTTCCTGAAAGGTTATCAACACATAGAACAGAGGAGGGACTACAAAAAAAGTTTTAAAAATCATACAAAATATACTCTTAACATAACTGTCAATTATTTGTAGTAACCTTTGGGAAAGTTATGTCTTTATACCAGTGATGCTACAAATGCAGTAGTTTCTGAACCACAGAAGAAAACCAGTTAACTTACCTTCCAAAATGTTTACTTTGATCCTTTGCCTCATTCATCAAATCAGCCTAAGAGTTTTTGGCACTGTCTAGAAATCACATCTACCTATTAAAAGGCAGAAATCTGATACCTCTAAGGATATTGTTTTGAGCAGTAATCGTATATTTGGAACGGTAATCCATAATGGTAAATTTAAGTTACAGTTCTCATTAAAAAAAACAAACTTGTTTTTAAGACATGTTAACTTTTATGCCTTACATCTGTAAAGTTAAATATATCAGTAGTATAAATAAGCCCTCAAGAATTTATATGTTATGACCTTCCTTAGGAAGACAGGGATTATAAAAACTGTCTTGGCCCCAATCCTTCCTCCCCTTCCTGGTGCGGTGATGTTAGAAACCGTGGCAATTTACTGAACTGGCTCCGAAAGCATCATTATAAACTCAGCATTAAAAAGAAAAACAGCAGGCATTTAGAAAATTCATATTTGGAGCTTTTTTGTAAGGACAGATTATATGGCTAAAGAATACTCACTGGAAGTTACTGGACAAGGCAGCACTTCTTAGTTTCCTTCAACCTTGAGCATTAATGGTAGTAGCAGCCTGAATCCCTGTGACAAACCAAAAATGCCTTCACATCTCTCCAGACGCTTGCAGGGGGCGGGTGCCCTCCTGCGCTTGTGAACCAATAACCGGAATAAAATTTGCATATAAAACTTTACAGGTTTAGAATTTGTCCTTATAAGCTTTACTCTAGTCCAAAGGAAAGTTCTTTATTTTTACCATTTTGGAATGGGTATCATGGCACTACTTGTTTTTCTCATTTGCCAGCCTTCTGCAAAAAGAGCCCGTCACGAGCTCCCCTTGGAAGAAGAGTACAGGTCAGCACTGCAAGCAGCAACAGCGGCCTTGGAGGCAATCGAGTTATTACTCCAAAAGTCTCCTCCTCCAGACTGGCTTCTGACAAAAATGGAGACACTCCAAGAAAGGATTGATAAGCTAAAACATCATGTATTCTAGGGTGAAAACTGAATGGACTGGACCATATTATCGCTAGGTAAGAGCTGGATATTTTTTTTTGTCATTCTACAGTGCATTTCACCTATAGATGAAAATATTGATGTAATTATATGTCTGGACATTTTCTAACACATAAAACTTTTCTAAAGTTGATTCTAGTTAAAATAGTCTTTATTGGACATTTAGAGAACAGGATGGTGGGGATATATCTCATGAAGAGCTTTGGTACAAGGTAATAATACAGGAACAGTCGGCAACTCACTCAGTACATCTGTAAACAAATAAGCTGCCTAAGGAAACCTTAGCAATTTAAAATCATTTATATACTTTATAGCTAAAATTATTTCAGTAAGTTGATTTCATAATAGAGCTTACTCTTCTGACAAAGAAATAGCACAAAATTAAGCTAATCAGCTTGAGTTTTTGTATTTATATTTTCTTTACTTCCAGAATTGTTCTGGAAAAAAGCAGTAAGGTCAACCTTTCCACAGCCACTTGCTCTTCACAGAAACTGGCCTCAGTCAGACACACAGCCTCTTCCTCTGAGAAGGGCTGTGAACCTCTGCACCGCCCAGGGCTCCCCGCCAGCACGCCAGGTCTCACACTTCTGTTGGCACTGACTGGAAAAAGAGCTCCTGGTATGAGAAAAACAGGATGCTTTTGGGTTTTCTTGTCTGCAGAGCCTGCTTTTGAGGTATTTGATTTTTTAAAAAAGGAATCCATTTTCCTAAAGATTAACTCACATCCGTTGTCACCAGTTATTGTCTTCCCAGTTCAGATCGCCGTCTTCTCCCCAGCCTGCAGCCTCTCCCTGCAACAAGAGAAAGCAAGCCAAGGGCAACCTGCTGAAACAAACCATGTTCAGATTTGAAAGATCAGGAATTTAAAAGGGGCACAACGCGTGTCTTTTGATGCCAGAATACATTTCCTTGTACTAAGTAAAATAACTTACTGGACTAGGAAGCTGAAAAGTAGAATTACTTTGGTTCCAGAATTACAAAACCACAGTATTGGAAAATAACGTTCCAAGGACCATATAAGCCAATAAAATCAGCTTGATGACACCACATTCTTGGTTTAATCCCTTTTCCAGACAAAAAAGATTATTATTGTAAAAAGTGGCCCATTTATTAGCCCAAGCACTGCTACATTTTTCTAGGGAATGAAAGATGCTATTTATAGGAACTGATCTTATTCATTTTATACTTGATCATGTTATCCAATTGTGGACATCAGTCTTTTCTCTCACTGGGAAAACAGCATGTTTGTTATCAATGGGACAGTGCAGCTGCTACATGTGAGGGAAGCATAAACTAGTAGCACAATTTAATAATCCTCACCTCAGTAATTTCTGCTGCAGCAAATTTTGAGGAAAAGTGCATCACTGATGAGACGTTATCCTTGTTGGGAGCTACTGTTTCTGTCCTCAGTTCAGGTAAAATAAGAATAGCAGCTGAAGGCTTAATTTCTGGGATCATATCAGCAAACCAATCCAACTCTGGGTCTTTTACTGGCTTCTTTTTCACCTGTATGGTAAACTCCTCTCCTAAACCAAGTTCTGATGGAACTTTAAGGTGCCTTTCTTGTGACAACACTTTCGGTGGCTTGGTTTGGTCTGGGTCATCCCTGCTTCGTGCAAGACTGGTCTTTTGGGGTAGGCTTGATTTCAAAGGCGTGGCCTCTTCAGTGAGTGGACGCAAAGTAGGAGTGGCCTTTTGCTCCCCTGAGGTAACAGGTCTTGCAGCCGTGATTCCACCTCCTGGGTTTATTTCAGTATCTACGCTGCTGGGCTCAAAGTCATCCCAAGCCGCCGCCTCTGCATTCAAGTCGGTGAATGGGGACCTGGCAGCAGCATGGGGGTCTGCAGGGCAAATCTCTGTGTCAACAGGTTTCTCCTCAGGCTCCTCAGGCTCGCTCCAGTCAGGCCACTCCTCAGACTTTTTAGAACTCGACGGGAACTTTTCACTGTCTCCTGAGGTGATTTTCACATCTGAGATTCCGTTGATGGGAAATTTAACAGGCTGAGAAAACTGATCGCCTGTGGGGGATAAGTACAAGAATTATTCTCATAAAACGTTGGTTTTAAGAACAAGCAATATATTTAGGAGAAAGTTAACAGATCTATACAGAAACGTATAGATCCAATTCCTTGGAAATATCCATGTACACTGAAGTATGAGATATCCCAGCAGAACATAAATCAACAAAGATGTAAGTTAAACAAATACTTAAATCGTAATTTGATGGAAGCATCCCAAGCAACAACTAACTGGAGCATCTAATCCTTTACTAAATATTCAGACATACTGTTTATTGGCATAACTGTCTACAAACAAAGATAAAAATGTTCTAAGCCAGGCGATGTTACCCTTGAGATGTTAATTACGTACACCCTGAAAAAGTGTTGTGTGCTCAAATAAGTTTGCCTCGCCCAACATATCCTCCTTTTAAACAGATTTTCTTAAGTGCAGTCAAGTCACTGAAGTCTTGTGCAGTGTGGTCTGACTCTGTGCTCAATTCCCCAAACTTACTTAACCACAGAACTTCTCTTTCATAGCACACCTGTTAACATCTTCCAGAACTATCATTCTTTGATACAATTTGGAAGAAGTCCCAAAGTAAAGTATCTGGTGCAAAAAAGGATTCAAGCAACGTCTTCACCAGTTATGAAGAAAAGACAGGTATATACCCTGTAGTCCAGGGAAAAAAGGCAGACCCAAGCTGACTACATAATTACAAATAATAAGAAAAATCAGTCTCAATATTCCCAAAGTGCCCTTAAGGTTCAGAATTTAAACTTATTACTCAGGAAAACATTCACCCAAGCAGTGGAACAGCTATATAAGTTTAATGAATCTACCTGTCTGTAAAAGAGTACTGTAGTAATCTCGCTGTATGTGCTTCTTGCTGGTGATGGGCATGTTGCCAGAAAAACATTTAGGGAATATGCTAGAGGAGGGGTTCTTCAAGACAGGTGAGATCTGACTGCGCTGGCTGCAGACGACGTGCATGGGAGAATCTGAAGATAAATAAAAACCCCCCAAAAATGAAAGGGGTAGTAAATTGCTTCTTTTCCTATCACATGTTAGGTGAGCAATGGTTAAGGGAAAAGGGTATATTTAACACAGATAAAAGATAAGTTGCAGAAAGAGGGCACCTCCAAATATTTGAAGAAACATAGTTACTAAGGAAGGGACTGCCTGTCCTAGAGGCATTTAAGAACAGGCTGTGTCCACATGGTGGTAATGGCACAGAAAGGTTTCAAGCATAGGTGAGCAGCTGAAGTAGACAGAAAACAAAACCTTTAGGATACCTAGTTATAAAAGTTAACAGCCTTTAAAAACATCTTAGTGGTTATTTAAAATCATACTTGATTCTACTTACTTTCCTTTTAAGAATAAAGAGTACAAACACACCAATGTGAATGTACTTAATGCCCCAAGGCTGTACACTTAAAATGTTTAAAATGGTAAACTTTGTTACAGACATTTAATGCCCAACTGGGAAAAGGAAAGTGTTTTACGAAAATGTTGTCTTTAACACCTTATCAGAAAGTTCATACTCAAGAGCGGGTATTGCTCAAAAGGATCCTAGCAAAATTTCTGGCCGAATACTTCCTCTGCCTTGGAAAAGTGAGGGTGAGGGGGATGGCCTGGGCTAACTCATCACAGGCCGCAGCTCCCCTCCTCAGCGCAGCCTGACCTCTACAAGCCCTCCACCCTCTTGCTTATTTCTGCCACTCTCCTCCCTGCTGAAGTCCTACTCATTTTTCTTACAAAATGTCCCCTTCTCTAAATTGTCCTCCCTAACTCTTGTTCATGCAGACTTATTTCTCTTAGGTACACTTTTCACTAACCTCCATATTAGCCCTTATGTCTGACCATGCAGGTGAACTGTAAAAGAACAGAAGGAAAAAGATAAAAGTCTAAGAGTACCTCTTTTACACACGCCCCTTCCCCAGCAGTCCCCCATGTCCTGTAGAAGAAGGGCCTCTCTTTTCTACAAACTTGGAATGTAGGCTGCCACCAGGGCTCCCAGCCATCTTGGATGAAAAGCCTAACGTGGCAAGTCAGTGGGATTAGTTTCAAAGTTTTCAGGAAAATCTATTTTAGTAAAAACTTATCTGCTGTAACATCTAGAACCAGAAAACTCCATCCAATAAGTAAAAAAGATGTTCGGAGTGGGAACTTTTGCTAATTCAACATGTAAAGCTGCCCCCTGAGACTGACCCCTAAGCCTTATCTCAAAATTACACATACCCTCTCCTCCTGCCAGAAATTCCTCTGGGATGAAATATAAATCTTTCATCTGCTCTTTGTGCACTCTGCTAAAAGAAAAACTGGTAACAACAGACCTCACTCAGTTTGGTATGGACATTTCATGGCTGAAGAGGAGGCGACAGCTTCTCCATCGCCCTCTTTAAGCTCCCTGGAGCCACACTGACACTGATTCATTAGCACCAAGGAAGAACTGAACTCTCTTCAAAACGTCAGGAAGTCAGTGTCGCTTTAAAAATTCTCTTGGCATCAAAATTAGAGAGCAGTCTATCTGACAGTTCCTTTCTACTAATAACTGTTTCCATGCTATCTACTCACTATGACTGAGAACCAGATTAGAGATCCAGAGCTTCATAACACGTCATCATCCTTCAGGGTTATACAAAGGAGCAAAGAAGCAATGACACTGTTGATAAAAAATTCTTATCCTTGACTTTTATAGCCTACAAAGATCAGAAACTACTGCTACTTCCACGTAACATCCAATGGGAACATACCAGAAATAAGGATATTTTTTTCTCTTGATTTCTTGAAGTACCTAAAAATCAAGAGCTTGTCACCTAACAGGCCATCAAAATCAAAAGAACTTAAACATCTGGTGTTGTTAAGAGCTGCTACAACCTTTTTGGAAACTGACACTATCTATTAAAATTTTAAATATTCAATATATTCTGACTCAGAAGTCCAAAAATGAGTGCAATAGCCATCAATAGGGAAATCACTGAATGAATTATATTCAATGAAATATTAGGCAGCTGTCAAAAAACAAAATAAAACAAAACTATTAGGCAGTTATGTACTGACCTGGAGACAGGTCCCTGATAAGCTGCTATGTGAAAAAAATCAAGTTGTAGAATTGTGCATAATATTTTCTTTTTTTTTTAAATCCCATGTGTGTGTGTAAACATACATTTGTGTGTCTTTGTGGGCTTAGAAAAAAGGATGAAAGAATTCCCACTAAGCCATTAAAACTGGTTACCTTAGATGCCCCAGAAGGAGCTGGGGGAGGGAAATTATTAACTTTTTCCATTTGAATACAATCTATCTGCATTATCTGTATAATGTTTAAAATCTAATAAATTAAAACAACAACACACTAGGCCTTTTAATCATTCTTACCTTGTGGGGAAAGGTCCATAGTTTTAGTAAAACTTGGTGCAGTGCATTTGAAGACCTTGGTTCTTTCTCCTCCCACAACCACCTCTGGTCCAAGTAGAGAGACCAACACTGCCAGGCTGTGAAGAGTAATTGCCACAATGGAATCGCTGGTATCACGCAGGCCCAGTAATACCTAGGAGTGAATTGGGTAATAAGTGTATGCAGCCATATTGCCTGTCTCTTTCTCCCCTGGTAAACAAGTAGTTGGGCTGCAATCAGTTTGTGCTTGCTCAAGTGAACTTCATTTCTTAGATACGCGTTCTAGGTCAGTAGCTCGCAACCTATCTGGTCAAGGACCAATATTTTCTCCCAATCCATCACAGCCTGATACTTTTTCAAAAATAAAAATGAAATTAAGTAGATAAATACATTAGAAATATATTAGGAATAAGATGACTCTGTTAAATTACTATAAAAAGTTTTAGATTTGTCCACGATGCCTGTTGACTCTTGCCTCCAAACCAAGGCCACAGAGTCCTCCCAAGAGCTAGCTCAGCACTTTTAAGCCTACAGCACCGAGTATTCCCAGGTGGTCTTCCATCCAAGTACTAACCAGGCCTGACCCTGCTTAGCATCTGCGATCAGATGAGACGGATGCATTCAGGGTGGGAAGGCTGTAGACAATTCCCCAACCAAATTCTTGGTGAATCTGAATACTCCAACTGAAAGACAGAGTTGCTGAATGGATTAAAAAACCAAGACTCATCGATATGATGTCACAGGAGACTCACTTCAGGTGTAAGTACATACACAGACTGACGGTGTGAAGGAATGGAAAAAGATGTTCCATGCAAATGAAAACCAAAAGAAGGGTGAGGTAAGTTATACTTGTATCAGACAAAACTGACTTTAAAACAAAGACTGTAATAAGAAACAAAGCAGGCATTACATAATGATAAAGGGGTCAAATCCAACATTTATAACATTTATAAATATTTATGCACTAAACACAGGCGCACCTAAATATACAAAGCAAATATTAACAGACCCTAAAGGGAGAAACTGAGCAATACAGTAATAGTAGCGGACTTTAATATCCCATTTACATCAATGGATAGATCATCCAGACAGAAAGTCAGTAAGAAAACACTGGCCTTGAATGACACATTAGATTAGATGGACTTAACAGATAATACAAAGAACATTTCATGCCAAAGCAACAGAACACACATTCTTCTCAAGTGCACACGGAACATTCTCCAGGACAGATCATATGTTAGGTGGCAAAACAAGACTTGATAAATTTAAGAAGACTGAAATCATATCAAGCATCTTTTCTGACAGTAAAAAAACTAGAAATCAATTACAAGAAGAAAACTGGAAAATTCAAATATGTGGAGGTTAAACAGTATGCCACTGAACAACCAATGATTCAAAGGAGAAATCAAAAAATACCTTGCAACAAATGAAAATGGAAATAAAACATACCAAAATCTATGGGACACAGCCAAAAGCAGTTCTAAGAAAAGTTCATAGTGATAAGTGCCTGCCTGAAGAAACAAGAAAAATCCCAAATAAATGACTAATTCTATACCTCAAGAAACTAGAAAAAGATGAACAAAGGAAGCTCACAGTTAGCAGAAGGAAGAAAGTATCACAGCAGAAATAAGTGAAATAAAGACTAAAAAGACAACAGAAAAAAAATTCAATGAAACTAAGAGCTAATTTATTCAAAAGATAAAATTGACAAATCTTTAGCGAGATTCACCAAGAGAGGACTCAAATAAAATCAGAAATGAAAGAAGAGATGCTACAACTGATACCACACAAAGGACCACAAGAGATTACTATGAACAATTACATGCCAACAAATTTGACAAACCAGAAGAAATGGATAAACTCCTAGAAACATACAACCTATCAAGACTGAATCATAAAGAAATAGAAAATCTGAACAGACAGGTCAAGTAAGGAGATTGAATCAGTAACCAAAAACCTACCAACAAACAAAAGTCCAGACACAGATGGCTTCACTGGTGAAGTCTACCAAACATTCAAAGAATTAATACCAATCCTTCTCAAATCCTTCCAAAAAATAGAAGAGGGAACTCATTTTTAAAAGGCCAGCATTACCCTGACACCAAAACCAGAGAAGGACACCACAAGAAAAGAAAATTACAGGCCAATATCCCTGATGAATATAGATGCCAAAACACTCAACAGAATTAGAAAACAAATTCAACAATACATTAAAAGGATCATATACCATGATCAAGTGGGATTTATTGCAGTGATGCCAGGATGGTTGAACATATGCAAAAAATCAATGTAATACACCACATTAACAAAATGAAGGATAAAAATCATATCATCTCAATAAATGCAGAAAAAGCATCTGACAAACAGAAAAAGCATCTGACAAAATTCAACATCCGTTCATGATAACTCTCAAGAAACTGGGTATAGAGGAAACATACTTCAACATAGTAAAGGCCATATATGACAAGTCCACAGCTAACATTATACTGAAAAGCTGAAAGCCTTCTCTCTGAGATTAGGAACAAGCCAAGGATGCCCACTCTTGCCAACACGGTATTGGAAGTCCTAGCCACAGCAATTAGGCAAGAAAAAAAAAGATATTTAAATCAGAAAGTAAGAAGTAAAATGGTCTCTTTTTGCAGATGACCTAATACTATATGTAGAAAACCTTAAAGACTCCAACAAAAAACTTTTAGAACTAATAATGATTTCAGTAAAGTCACAGAATACACAATCAATATACAGAAATCTGTACCATTTCTATACACTAATAATGGACTGTCAGAAAGAGAAAGAAAACAATCTCATTTACAATTGCATCAAAGAATAAAATACCTAGAAATAAATTTAACCAAGGAAATGAAAGACCTGTACACTAAAAACTATAGGACACTGATGAAAGAAACTGAAGAAGACATAAATAAATGGAAAGATATTCTGTGCTCATGGACTGGAAGAATTAGTACTGTTAATAAACTGCCCATACTACCCTAGGCAATCTACAGATCCAATGCAAGCCCTATCAAAATTCCAATGGCATTTTTCACAGAAATAGAACAATCCTAAAATTTGTATGAAACCACAAAAGACTCTGAAGAGCCAAAGCAATCTTCAGAAAGAAGAACAAAGCTGGAAGCATCACACGCCCTGATTTCAAACCATATTACAAAGCTATAGTAATCAAAACAGTATAGTACTGGCATAAAACAGTCACACAGGTCAATGGAACAAAATAGAGAGCCCAGAAATAAACGTATACATATATGGTCAACTAATTTATGACAAAAAGAGCCAAGAACATACAATGCAGAAAGGATAGTCTATTCAATAAAGTGTTGGGAAAACTGGACAGTTATATGCAAAAGAATAAAACTGGACCACTATCTTATACCACATACAAAAATTAACTCAAAATGGGTTAATGACTTAAATGTAAGACCTGAAACCATAAAGCCCCTAGAAAAAAACATGGGCAGCAAGTTCTGTGACACCAGTCTTGGTGATGAGTTTTTGGATCTGACACCAAAAGCAAAGGTTACAAAACCAAAAAACAAAGAAGTGGGACTACATCAAACTAAAAACCTTCTGCATAGCAAAGGAAACCATCAACAAAGTAAAAAGGTAATCTAATGAATGGGAGAAAATATTTGCAAATTGTACATCTGATAAGAGGTTAATATCCAAAATATACCCAATAACTCATACAACTCAAAAGCAAAAACAGTTTGATTAAAAAGTAGGTTGAAGATATGAATAGACATTTTACCAAAGATGACAGAAAGATGGTCACCAGGTACATAAAAAGATGCTCAACATCATTAAACAACAGGAAAATGCAAATCAAAACCACGGTGAGATATCACCACACACCTGTCAGAATGGCTATTATCAAAAAGACAAGAAACAACAGGTGATGGCGAGGATGTGGCGAAAAAGGAACCTTTGTGTGCTATTGGTGGGAATTTATATTGGTGTAGCCACTATGGAAAACAGTACAGAGGTTCCTCAAAAAATTAAAAATAGAACTACCATACCATCCAGTGATTCTACTTCTGGGTATTTCTTTGAAGAAGAAACTACTAACTCAAAAAGATATATGCACGCCCATGTTCACTGCAACATTATTTACAATAGCCATGATATGGAAATAATTTAAGTATCTACTGATGGATAAAGAAAATGTAGTACACACACAGTAAAACTATTCAGCCATAAAAAAAGAATAAAATCTTGCCATTTGCAACAACATGGATCGACCTGGAGGGCATTATGCTATGCTAAGGGAAGTAAGTCACACAGAGAAAGACGAATACTCATGTGTGTGTGGTGGTGGGGCAGAGGACAAACAGAAAAACGGGCTCACAGATACAGAGAACAGATTAGTGGTTGCCAGAGGTGGAAGTGAGGAGGTAGGGAGGAAATGAAATGGGTGAAGAGGGTCAAAAGGTACATACTTCCTGTTATAAAATAAAAAAGTCACGGAGATATAATGTACAGCATGGTGACTATAGTTAATAATACTGTATTGCCTATTTCAAAGTTGCTAACAGAATAATTCTTAAAAGTCATCACAAGAAAAAGATTTTGTAACTCTGTATGGTGACACATGGTAACTGGGCTTATTGTGGTGATCAGTTGCAATATATATACATATACACACATATCAAGTCATTCTCCTGTATACCTGAAATGAATATATCAATAATGTACCTCAATTTTTTTAAAAAAAGGTTTTAAATGTTAATTTTCCATATCTGTACTCACCTCATTGCAGAACCATAACAAACAGTACATGGACTGGCAATATTCTGCAGAGCTCACTTAGAAACACTCATCTAGGTCACTAAGAGCTATGTTACCAGTCCTTGGCCTCTTCTCAGTTTTATATACCCATAAGGATAGGACCTTGAAACCTTCTTTATATCTGATGCATATAACACCTGCCCCAAACTGAGCCAATTATGATCTCTTTCCCGGTAACAAAAACTGGAATTTAGGGACACTGGTTATCTCTGAGGTTTGCTTAAAATGAGGAGAGTGAACTTAGAAGCTATGGGTCAACAGTGTTTGTCCATGTGTACACCAAATAAAGCTGGTCTTCAAAAGTCAAAAGACAAAGGAACGCAATGAAGACCATATGGCTGAGTCCCAGCTGCACTTGATTTCCATGTAAGGCAGAATGACATCCTTTGATTAAAGTCTCTCTCCTTTTTTTTTTTTTTTTTTTTTTTTTTTTTTTGCTTTAGCTTGTTTAAGTGGGTTTCAGTTACCTGCAGCCAGAAGAATCTTGACGAAGACATTCACATGGAGCTATCAGGAGAGATTTTGCTCTGAATTGGCAAACACATATATAAGGAAGATGGCAGGCAAAGCATGTGCACCAGCCAGACACAAGGCTATCAGGAGTCCTGGGCTCTGGTCCTTGCTCTGCCAGGGGTTCTCAGTATGACTCGGCCAATTAATCGCTTCATTATTCTGGTCCAGTTTCCTCATATATCCAAGATGAAGGTTTCCAACAGGACTCAATAAAATAACTAACAGGTCCAATGCTAACAAACCAGGCACTTTCTCGAAACAAAGCTGTACAAGTAAACTAAATCATGGTTAGAATTCTATCAACTGAATATGGTAATCATAAAATAAGAAACCACCAAAGCCAAAAACCCAAGAGTCATCCTCAAAACTCTCCCATCTAGTGAGAAACTGAGTCCTACCCCTTCTACCCTTAATCACTGCCGCCATGTTTTCCCCAGTCCTTGTCATCTCTTAGCAGGACTATTCTAGTAACTTCCTAGTTGAACTCCCTTAGTCCATCTTCCACTGCTCCCAAAGTGAACACTGAAACCAGTCAAGTTATTCCCCTACAGGGGGAGTAGCTCCACTGAGAGTTTTCACTGCCTTTCATATGCTGAGTATCTACTTATTTGACCTCAGCTCAGTGCCAATTCTGAGACCTGTGATGGTATCTCTATTTCAGAGTTAGAGTGCTTCATTCCTCTTCTAAATTTTCAGACACAAACAACTACAAGTAGGGTGACAACTACTGCTGCAGATGTAAACACAAAATGCTATGTTGTGGTAGCTAGGCTCTAAAGCCAGCCCCCAGTGAACCACACACCCAGTATCCACGCCCTTGTATAAAACCACCCCATGGTGAACCTGGCCTGACTTCTGTGACTCACTTCAACCAACATAATGTGACAGAAGCAATGTTGTCAGTTTCCAATCTCTGCCTTAAGAAGGCTGCTTGGGCACTTCTGGTAGCCTTGGGCAGCCATGGAAGAAGTCCACACACCTTGCTAAGGAAATCATGTGGAGATGTCACATGGAGGAATAGGGGCCCTGAAATGTCCTGAGGCTTTATGGAGAGGGAGCCCCAGCTGTCCCAATGCCCCAGGTAAGCCCACCTTTCAACCTTCCCCTCCAAGGTGCCAAGGGGCTATTCTGGATGTGTTATGGGGCCCCAGATGACTGCTGCCTCAGCTGACATCATGTGGAACAACAGAACCCCCAAGCTGAGCCCAATCAATCCAAAGAATCGTGAGAATTAATAAAATGATTGTCATTTTAAGGCACTAAGTTTTGGGGTGATTTGCTACACAGACAACAAAGATCTATTTCCGATCTACTCTCTCCTTGAAAGCAGGAAGTGTGTTACATACCTCTAGGGCCCCAGTACCTAAGCACAAGAACTGGCATAAAACCAGGCCTTATAATTTGTAAATAAATTAATCTGATAGAAAAACAAGTTATTTGAAAAATACCATGTGACCGATAAAATCTTTTAAAACCTTGTACTGAGTTGAATAACGTCTTCCAAAAATTCATGTCCACCCAGAATGTGACCTTGAAATGCGTCATACTGGGTTAAATCCAATGACTGGTGTCCTTATAAAAAGGCCACGTGACAACAGAAGCAGAAATTGGAGTGACACGGCTACAAGCCAAGAAACGCTAAAGGGCTACCAGAAGCTGGGAAGAAGGCAAGGAAGAATTCTCCCCTAGAGCCTTCAGAGGGAGCCCTGCTGACACCCTCATTTTGGATTTCTGGCCTCCAGAACCATAAGTGAATAGATTTCTCTTGTTTTAAGCCACGCAGTTTGTGGTAATTTTGTTACCTCAGTTACAGAAAACCGATACAAACCTGGAGCCCTGGAGTGGGCAAATCTAACAGGCTCCCTGGTGGCTGACTGATAGGCTGAAAACCACTGACAGGAATCATCCCGTTCCTCTCATTATAATTTAATTATTTTATAGTAATTTAATTATGACACTTGCACTTTATGTTCACAAAGCATCCCACAAATGAATCTTGTTAGTTTTCCCCCAAAGAATTAGCAAACAGAATTACAGTTTTTCAGGTTATATACAGGTGAAAACCAAATATGTTAGTTTAACTGATTTGCCTGTGTGACTGGCCTGGAAATGCAACTTTAATTCCCGCCCTTTGAATCCCAGGAGGCATTTAAACTGAAGTTCTGCCTCAGGCCTTCTCAGCTGTTCCCCAGTGGGCCCTGGCTCCGCCTCCTCCCCTGGACAGCGCTGTGGGCACCCGCCCCGCCCCTACCTGGGGCAGGATGACTTTCTTCAGCTGCTCCTGGGTGAAGTGCCCCACGTAGGCCTCCAGGTGAGACAGCAGCACCGTCCGCACGTGCTCCTCGTGCACCTCAAACAGCCGCAGCAGCACGGGGATCACCCGCGCCTGGAACAGGGCTGGGGAGAGCAGGCGGGGGGCTCCCCCCCTCGCACCGTCTTCTCCCCATCAGACGAAAGAACAACGCGTCACTTCGGTGAAAGGAGCACGAAGCCCAGCGCAGAAACTGAGCCCAGAACTTCACACACGTTCTAAATGCTCTTCTAAATTCCCAAACCAAAGGGAAGTGCTTCTTTTGACCCCAAATTACTCAAGGCTTAACTGTCTTAATCACACTCCACCTTGTAGAAGTGTTTCTGAAATACTCTATCATACTTAATGTACTATTTACAAAGAAACCTTATGTTCTAATAGAATCCTGAGTCGACAGCTCTTTATATACTTACATCTAATCAATGAGGAATTTCATATACTAGATTCAACGGATATGATTGTTGCAATTTCATCCGCAAAGCCAGGAAGTGTGTTAAATGCTACAACAAGAGTTGGCGCTGACGGTCCTCTCCTTCCTAGTAGTTATTGTAGGTTATTCAACAGAGACATGCATCAGAATCATTTGGGGACCTTTCAAAATACATATTTACCCATCCTTGCTCTGTCCCAGAACCAGTGGATCAGGCACAGGCAAATTTTTAAAAAGCTCCCCAGGTGATTCAGGTTACCATGAAATAATCTTGCACTGCTCAAATATGGACTAATAACTCCCAAACTCCGTAATTACTAATAATACTTTGAAAAAAAATTCACCTTTTTTGGGGCCAAGGAGGTAGGGAAGAAAACTCTTAACAGCTACTGGCTCTGCAAACACCAACTGATTAAGCAGAAGAGGCACCAGCCGTGAAGCTATTAATTCCTCTGACAGGCAGCTGACTCTGTCCAGGAGGAACCTGAGGGCAAAGAAGGAAAGCCTGGGAAACTGGCTGTAACACTGTATCAACTCACTTGTACAGTTTAGACACATGCAGCTTTATTCCACTTCCATCAAAGTGATGAATCTGAAATGTAGCTAGAGAAACTGTAGCTAGGTCAGTCCCCAGGTATTTAAGAAAAACACAGAAGGTGTGAGGCAAGGCCAGATAGTCAGTACATACACAACCTCCAATCCAAGCTAGGAAAATTTTTTCAAACAATGGCCCCTCATTAATAGCAAGAGTGTCTTCTCTCCCCGCTAATAAGCCAGAGGCTTTCTGGTCAATAAAAGGTACTTTCTCAAGTTTAAAAGACGTAGGATATTACATTATCTAAAGTTTCCACGGTAAACAAAATACTAACTTTTGTTACTCATTAAAACAAGCTATGTACAAGCACTTAGTTAGGAAATACACAGATATCAGGTGTTGGCAGTAGTAAAACGCCACTATACAATCACCCTGAGCAGGTAATCCTGCCTCCTCCTTAATTGGGAAACAGGCCCCACCATGCTTTATCTCCTGCAAGCCCCTCAGCCACTATCGACAAACCGGTCCACACCCAAACTCACTCCCAGCTCCTTTTCAAGTTCCATGGATGCGAGGGCTTCCTCTTATTGAAGGTCACCCCCACTGAGCCACCGCCCCAACATCCCCTTCTCCCCCAGGGCCATGCACCGACAGCCCCCCAACAAAACTGCATCTTCAACTCCTCCCTCACTCCCCCACCAGCTCCGTCCCATCAGCCTACAAACATGCTCCCCCGTCTCTTCCAGCCTTAAAAACATCCTTCCTAAAAAGAAAAAAAAAAATCCTTCCTTGACTCCATTAGCAATTCTTTAGCAATTCTATGTTCCTCTTCTCCGAGCTTTTCAGGAGATTTTACCCAAAGTCCACTTTCTCACCTTCCACCCACTTCTCAATTCACTGCAGTTTGATTCGCTCTGCTGAAACAGCTCTAAGACAAGGTCATCAGTGCTCTCCTGACTGCTAAGTGAACAGGTATCTGTTGACTGCTCCTATCTTTCTGAAATTTTCTACTCCTTTGGAATACCAGCCTCCTGGCTGTCTCTCAATCTCCTCCAACCACTGCTTCTGTCACATTCATCAGCCACTCCCTCCCCACTGGCCCCCTTACAAGGTTGTGTGCCCCAGTACAGTGTGGGCCACTGTACTTTCATGCTACCCACTTTCTATGGGGCAATGTCACCAACTACAGGCTGATGAAGCCTCACATTCGCCTCTAGCTCATCAGCTTGAGACCTCTCTCCTGAGCTTCTGACCCATCTGCCCAAATGCCCACGTACATCTCTACCTGAAGTCCCACAGACACTTCAAACACACACTGAATGCCAAATTCTTCATTTTCTCTGCATGTAGGTTCTCTCCTCCAGTATTCTCTAACTCTTTTGGTGATAATCACTAAGGCTTGTCAGTCTGTTTTAGTATTTCTTATCTGTGTCTTCTTCACTGTACCATCACTGCCCTTACATGAGGCCTCACATTTACTACCTGGACTACTGCAGTCTACCAACCGATCCAAGTCTTATGTGAAATAAACCTGTGCCCTCCGTAGAAAACAGAGCGATCCACCCAAGGGGAAACAGCCATCTCACAGCCCGTTTTCACTCCTTTGATGGTTTCAAGGCCTGAAGTCCACTGCTTACCAACAGTGTCAATACTCCTAAGTGCCACGTCCAAGGGTGCCCACCCCTTACCCTCCAGCAGGACCCAAGCGCTCATCATTCCTCGCACAAGACATACTGTGTCTTGCCTCTGTGCGCCGGTTCATGTTGCTCCTCTGCCTAGAATACCTCTTCTCTAACCTCCTTCTCCCCCGTCCTCTGCTGTTTTCAGGACGACCCCCTCAAGCTCCATCACTGTTTAAGGGTTATCAGTCTGTATCTGTTTCCCTCACCAGAACTATCCATCCCAGGGCCTAGAAAAGAGCCTGACGTATAGGAAATGTCACTAAACTTTAAGAAAACTAATGTCTGACTCATCCTCTCTAGGACACCTGAAGTGATTACATGGACTTAACCCAAGTTACTGAATTTTAAGGCCTGAATTTTCTAAACTTACTTGAAAAATTCAGCTTTTTCCTCTTCACTCTTCAATGTTAAACTTTTCAAGAAATTCACAACTTCTAGAAAATCATTCCTAAATGCCAAAAAAAAAAAAAGATGCAGGACAACAGATTAAAGATGGCGTTGTCAAATATTGAAGCAATAACCGCAGACCACACCACAATAATATTCAACAAAGAATCATTCCCCTGTGCCACTTGGAAGATTCTGTTATAACTAAGTAGCTTATAAGACAAATACTATGGAACAAGTCCACAGGGAATTTAATATTTTAAGAATATCAAAGAGATCTGTCAGGAGGATACACGCTTAACCACACACACATGTGCATACACAAACGCCAACCAACGCTGCGGTGTTAATCATCATCATCCAAGTGTTTTGTTGTAACAGGATGTGGTTACATGAACTATCCTGGGAGAAACGGTATTACCGTTACAAAATAGTTGCTAATTCTCAAGTCTCCTTTGGTGAAAACTATTAAAGAGGGTTGGGGAAAGAGGAATTTCTGGTATAAGTCACAGGAATCTTCTCGGTTCTCCCATTGTAGTTGTCTGGTCACTTTTGCAGCCAGGCAGGGAAGACGGTGAGAGGAGTGGTCAGTTTCCTGCAGGGTCTCCAGAGAGCCCCGCAGCCACTCAGCTCCAAGCCAACGTCGCCCCTGGAAAGGAGGCTTCAGCAGCAGCCTGCAGCCCCCGCCAGGACAGCTGACCTCCTGGGTCTCCACTCCTCACATTGACACCTGTTTCCCTCTGGCTCAGCGGCAGAGAAAAAGCACAAAGCCTTAACTGAAGTGCAATCAGGTTGGCTTGGCTGCCTCAGCGGGAGCTGCTGGCCCTCCTCCTCCTGCCGCCGCCTCTGGCTGGGCTTTCCCCTCTCGTGTAACAATCAGATTTGGGGGACAGGGCGCCGGTGTGTGGTTTTGGCTTCCCTCTCCCATCTCTGTTTAACACATAATTCTTACTAAAGAACTCTTATCACACACGGTAGTGAGAGCATCTATTTACTATAAAGGATTCTGCTTTGTAGAGATTCTATACCAAGATAAAGCATCACTATGAATCACCCAAAAAGACATGGAAATACCTTGGTTAAAAGACTCATAATGGGAAAGGTCTGAACAGCTTCCCTGGAGCATAAGTGACAAAACCCTTGTAACTACAAGGAAAATACCCCCTCTGCCTTGTTTAATAATATACACCCCCATCCTTAGAGGTAACTGTCCCCCTTCAGGGATAATATTAGCTTTCCCTTCACTCTGGTTTCTCTCAGGCTTTCTGACTGCAAACACATAGGATTTTTAGTTTCACAACTGACATAAAACTGATTTTGCTAATAAAAGTCATGAATGTGGAGTTAACCTGTGCAGAAGATCTGCAGTCATGGAAATTAAAAAATAAAGGACACATAATTAAAACTAACCTGGAAGAGAGGTTCAAAAACATCTGAATCCAGCGACAGTATTAACAGCTACACTGTGCCCTCCCACTAAACTGACTTCTTTGCTCTTCCATCACGTATCACTAAACAAAGAAAACAATCTTCCGCCTGAAGAAAAATAAGCTCATTTCCACACCCCCACCCGAGTAAAATTCAACAATAACAGACTCGTATCACAATGGCAGCAAAAAGGAGAGGCCATGTTTATTAAGTTCCTCAATTAACTTCCAACTGTAAATCACTGGACATAGCCTAGCTTCTTCACATTCAGAAGCCCTAAGTAATCCAGCTATAATTTCTAGACCCAGGCCTCCATGACAATTAAGGAGTTCGAAAACTTCCTATCTGTGATAGGAAGCTGAGAGGCAACCCAATTTCTCCCTCTATTTTCCCATGTGGACATGATTCACTCTCTTCTAATAAAGAAGGACAACAACAGCAGCAAAAGGACCACAGCATTTGGTCCTCCAACACCCACCACTGGAGCATAACCCACAAGAGAGCAGGCGGGCATCAGTGGGGAGCAGCCAGCGTGTCACACCAGGCACCCTCACCTGAAGAAGTCATGGGACAGGAGGGTGCAGAGCGCTGGCCGACAGTTTGGAATGGGATTCAGCAAAGTTGAGTGCAAGGTCTGTTGAAAGCTGGAGAGAACATCCGCTGAAACTGAAATCCAGAGCGACAGTTAGTTTCCAATGCCGTTTCCCTCTTTTCAGGACCTCTATAGCTGGAGGCTGACGAGAGCAAAAACCAACCTGTAAAAGCCCAAACAAACAAAGCCCTGGCTGTTGCTGAACAGCTTCCTGCTTTCCTGAAGCCAAGCTCCTTGACAGGTGTAGAAAATTGTCCTGACAACACATCCAAGCCCCTGCTCACATGCCTCCCCTTGGAAGCCCTCTCATTTCCTGACCGTCAGTTTAACTCAGCTCAGGCCCAGAGGAGGAGGTTTAATAAGCGGCAGGTTTGAGGGCCTTTTCAACCAAGTCTCCTCACCCACAGAACACAGGAAGTTATCTGAATGACTATATTTTCAATTCTCTCGGGGGTGGTACATAATTGCCACCATTCTAGACACAGTGAAGAACAGTGAGTCCATCATCCACCAAGAATGCCTTAGGGTTTAATTCTCAAGTGTTTAGGCTGGGACAACTCAGAGCTGACAGCTGAATGGTGCTTGTGACTGCAGAGCACTGAGTGAACCGGGAAGAAGAAACTGCGTTAGAGCTGCAGCAATGTGAGATATAGGCCAGTAAGGGGCCTAATGAGACATGGACCCCAGTACACTTAAAGGGTGGACGACTGAAGGCCTGGAGTGGCTGGAGGAGAGTGTAGCAGGCTGCCAGAGAGCTCAGAAGAGACCTATGTGTTCAGTGGCCTGGGCTTTGAGGGCCAACAAAAGAAAAAAGTAATGAGTAAATGAAATCACAAAGAAAAAAAACCAAAAGGACTTTGAAAAAAAGATAAAGAAACGTTAATCTTGATTTAGAAATTAAGAAAAAACTTTGAATCTTACTCTATTCTTCAGATCATTACATATACATCAATAACAGCATTCACTTACTTATTGGCTGGCTTGATAAAGAATCGTCTTTAGACCATAAATACCGATAACAATTAGTAAGATAATAACATATGATATTCATAGCCATAGTTCAAAGTGCTTCCTACTTAAAACTTTTTTTTTTGTTTTCCTGCGGTACGCGGGCCTCTCACTGTCGTGGCCTCTCCCGTTGCGGAGCACAGGCTCCGGACGCGCAGGCTCAGCGGCCATGGCTCACGGGCCTAGCCGCTCCGTGGCACGTGGGATCTTCCCGGACTGGGGCACAAACCCGTGTCCCCCGCATCGGCAGGCGGACCGTCAACCACTGCGCCACCAGGGAAGCCCTAAAATTCTTTTAACTATGCAAAGTAAAGAAACCCGAAGCTTCTTCCCTCCCTGCTATTAGGATCTGCCCTAAACAACTTTCTTGGTAAGCAACTGCTCCTTACTATGATCAAAGACTGCAGTTCTCTGAATACACACAGAACAAGCCATGGATGATTTTCCTACTTATTCTGTGGATGCAGCAGCATAACTCCAACTCACCCTGTTCACTTAAGATTGTGAGCAAACTTTCCACCAATGTCCCAAAAGAATAGGCATCCCGAGCATGTCCGTGTGACTCTGGCAGAGTTGTGAATTCTGGAAGCTAAAAGCAGTAAAGACCATTAAAACCAGAGGATCTGCTTTACAAACCATTTCTACTTTTCTCTGAAGCACTTTCTCCCATTTTTGCATTCATTATACTCAAAGCTAACTACATATTACCACACACTAATTTATAGGCTCTTAAAACTATTAGTGAATAGAATTTATCAAAGATACTAATAATATCAAACAGGGGCAAAAAGAAAAAAGATCAGAATATATGTCTGTGGCTTTCAAAAATATTTTTGACTGCAAACCAGAGAAAAAAAATTATCATAATTATCATTATCAACATATGCACATACATGTATAAATACATATCAGAAACAAAAGTTTCATAAGACAGTACTTAGCTTTACTACCCAAGATGTCCAATGATATTTTTTATTTTATTCCTTTCTTTTTCTCCCTTAAAATGCTGGTCAGGACCCCTAAATTGATTCAAAACCCACAAATCATCAGTTTGAAAAACACTACTATATATACATAGTACTGATTTGAATAAACCTGAGTTATTTCAAGTCTTAGGTTTATACTTAAGTTTATAGTTGGGTTTGTATTTCCTGTAAAGCACACTAAATATGTCTTTGGGGGTCAATGTCTATAGTGGTTAAGAACAAATTTAGAGAAAGCAGCTGCTTTTGAATTGACTGGTAAATATACTCTTTCTTTACCACCACCATAATATTAATAATTGCCCTTCCTTACATCTTGGAATCCCAACTAATGGCCAGATAGGCAGATGACTGGTTGGGTGAAGCACAGAAAAGGGCCAGGGTCTTGCTTCCTCAGCTCTCATGGCTTCCAATAATGTACAAAGACTTACCATGAAATAGCTATGAAGCGCCAACCCTGCTCACACTGAGGTACCTCTTATCTTTAAGCACTATCACGGGTGTCTATATGACCAAAAAATGTAAGCTGAGTGTCAAGAAAAAGGCTTTCTGCTGTGATGATACAGTAAGTCTTAGAAGCCTTCAAGGCCAGAGGAATTATGAGGCATCTATAACTTAGCAAAGAAAGAGGTGGGCAGAGGAAAGGTTTTTTTAAAGTTTCATACTCAGTTACACAAAGAAGCCTTCATTACATCTGAAGCGTATCCTCTTACCATCTCTTCAGGAGGGATAGATGCTGGGTCTCTTACTGACTGAATACTCCTCAGAAACTAGACAGAAATAAATTAAGGAAAGTAATTCAAGCATATGTTTGGTGAACTGATCTCTTACATTAAGTTACAAAAACAAAGAGCAATGGAAACAGCAGCAATGAAACCTTCAAACCGATGCCACACATTAAATGCATAAATTTAAAATCTTGATAACTAAAAAATGTAGATATGGTACCTGGCATGGTGCAAGGCTTAGTGGAAAATAAATTACGAGTTCCCTTTCCTTTCCCCTTCAGCTGGTTTAACAGAAACCCTCTGGTGTTCAGAGGCATCTCTGTAACTGATTTCCTTATAATTAGAAATACTTCTTTTTCATCCTGCATAGATATTAACAAATAAAAGACTTCTCCAGCAGAGAACAAATCTATCATTAATCTGCTCACTGAGTCAAGTCAATCATAAGGCTTGCTGTCACATGAGATATATGAGGATCTTATAAACTACAGAGACAAAGCCAACATCCACAGAACAAGTACATTCATTCACTGATTCAAAGACTATTTTTCAAGAGCTTATATGTCCCAAGCACCATTTAGGGCACCAGGAATACAAAATGAATGCAATAAATCCCCGTCCCCAGCCAGGTGCTCACAACCTAGAACTAAACTAAGAACTTCGATAACGTGTGCTGAATGAGTGCCATGGAAGCCTAGGAGGGAACTACTCTTGTTGGGTAGGGAACGCCTGGGGGAGGGCTTCACAAAGAGGAGACTTAGCCAGATCTAGACTTCAGCTAGGCGTCAGCCGGATCTTACATCCTGCAGAGAACCCAGGGGAAGAAAGACATCCCAGCAACAGAATGGCACACAAAGAAAGAAGAGGGTGAAAGAGGACCACCCATGAGAACACAGCTGAGATGCGTGCAACAGGATGCAACCGGAGTGTAGCTCAATAACTGAGAGGTATACGGAGCTAAAGGTAGGCTGGGGAGGAGACTGTGGAGGGCCTTGTATGCCACGGTAAAGAATCTGGGATGAACCCCACAGGAAGAATTACGTCCTAGTATACTAACTAGATGTAAGCTGACTTCTGAGAAGAAAGCGATCAACAGGGGCAGAAATAAAAAAGGAATGTCTTCGTGGTGGAAGGAGCATTTGAATTGAGCCAGAGCCCCTGAAGGTGCACATGCAACAAGGCCCCCATGTGGAAGCTGCACACAAGGGAACATGGGAAATTAGGCCGAGCCAGGAAGTCGGGGAGCCACCTCATCAGTAAGTCAGGGAGCCACCCTGTCAATAGGGAAATTATAACGGGAGTGGTATTTCTGTTTTAAAAAGAGTTAAGTCTAGTGGCAACATGCAAAATGGTGAAAACAGGAAACAAAACAGAGAAGAGCAAGGTTGCTCAACCCAGGAGGGAAATATGTAGATCTCTGTCAGACAAAGTTACTGTTCAAGAAGTACCACAGGCAGCAACAACACAGCGCGGCACTAGGAGCAGCTGCAATGCACAGCTCTTAAGACGTGGTGTATGACTCTGGACAACTTGAACGACTGTTCAGTGAACATTTCTAATGTACCTAATATGTGCCAGGCACTATTCTAGGTGGATATATAAAGATAAGTATACGAGACTATCACCCTCAAGAAGCTCAACCACTGGTGAAGAAGACAGACACATGAAGGTAATTTCAATATTAAACATTCAGTGGGAAAATTAAGTACAGGCTACTACAGGAGCACAGAGGATGGGCATTTAATTAAAAATTTGCCCAAGCCACTCGACCTCTTTCAGTCTGATTCCTCAAGTATAGAATGAGGAGAAAAGAATAAATGACTCCTAGTCTCCCCCTGGAGAGTAAAATCCCACAATTCTATGGATATGAGTATTGACAAAAAAGTCAAGTCTCTGAATCTGAGACCACACTAACATTGAAGGGAAGTCCCTAGGGGAGAACCACACACCAAAATGCTATCAAATTCTGCATAACAAAGAGGGCCTGTCACCTGGCTTACCTCTGGTGTGGCCTGAGGAACTTTACAGACTGTTTCCATTCCTCCCAGCTTCCAGTGCCCATCTTCACTCACAAACACAGATGATAAACAGACATTGTTGTGTGTGAGGTGTCCCTGGAAAAAAAGAACAGGAAGAAGATTGCCACTCCAATTTTCTGAGTAGAAGTTTTAAAAAACTAAGTACTCATTACCAAAAAAAAAAAAAAAAAAATTATGGCAAGTCTTCCTACTTGTGGCATTATAAACAGAACTACAACTTTAAGGAATGACAAATTGAATGAGGCTGCTTAAACATTATGAGGTTAGAAAAAAGGGAAAAAACACAATAGAAAGGCTTATCTCCCCCTGCCTGGTGAGGCAGGTTAATAAAGACGTAAAAGCCACTGCACGGATATTACACAACCCCATCTCCATGGGAGTCAGGAGATACAAGTGTCCTTAAACATAAATTTGCAAGTCTTTTTAACCTACATTGTATGCTTCAAATGCCTTTAAAGGTACAATTTATCTTTGCTCCCATAGGTTACTGTATTAATTTTCTCCTCTAAATTCTTTCTCACCTACATTCTATCATGAACCCAGATCCACTTCACCTGAAATCTTGTCAGTAGGCATTAAAAAAATTCTGCCTGAAGAAGAGGAAAATGGAATGATAAGGACCACCAGAAATATCCCACAGACCACAGAAGAGCCAAATTTAAAACTATAAAAAATAGTACAGTCAAATAAATGAGAGGGAAGAAGAAAAAGAGAACAGGGTTGAAGTATGTTTTTCTCCAAACCAGAAATTATTCCAGTAGATAAGTGCATTTTAAATATTCTACCCACCAGATCAAATATGTACACATTTTTATATAAAACACTCCAAGTTATATATTTTTTAAAGGAAAGCTTAAAATAGTATGCATGTGTCTTTCCGCTTGGGAAAAAGCAAAGGAGAATAAGCACAGAGATGTCTGCTTTATACACACAAGAAATATCTCTGGACTAACACACTGATCATCATGGTTGTCGATGGAGAGAAGTAGGGCGCTGGATTCAAGGATGAGGCAGGGACTTGTTTTTCCCTATCTGCACCCTCATACTATTCAAACTTTTTACCACGTTCATGCATTTCTCCAACAAAGAAAATATTCCTCCACAGTGGGTCATTAATAATTCTACTTATGTGAATCTTAGACATACTTTAAGAGATGATAAATCCAAAGTGATATTTGGAGACTCTGTCTCCCAATAACAGAAAACGTTTTAAAAACACATTAAGATGAGTCAAATGCAAGTGCTTCTAACTTGTAACTGGTGTTTTTAAATCTCGGGTGGGGAGGGGGGCTGCCAAAGGCCTTAATACTTCAGAATGTAAATTCCATTAACAAATAGTAGCTCAATAATACTGTTAAGAAATAGACAAGAAGTAAACAAAATACTCTATCCCCTTCATAGCAAACACTGCCACAGTGTTAGGGGCTATCTCTCTTTGGTACCACCTACTTGAATGGAAAGGGGTGTGTAAAACTCTGCCTCTTTCTAAGAAATGCTAATTTCTTTCTTTAAAATCTAAAGAAAAAAACAAAACTCCTGAAAACAAATAGGAAGGTTGGTCCATCAGCAGCACTGATGTTACTAAACTTTTATCTTGACTTAATAACAAATACCAGCTGTAGCTATTTTTATATAAAGACTTATCCAAAACTAGAGAGAGACTATAGTAAAATGAAATAAAGTTCTACAAATAACTGCCCAGGGACAAAGAACTTGTTGCCTGTTCCACAAACCACTTGTCTGTCTGTAGCATCTTGTATGCTGTTTTCCCTCAGGAAGCCTTCTGATAAGAATAGTAATTTATGATTTCTACAGATACCGTAATTCACCAGCACTACCCCATACATCAGCCTCCTCCCACCACCCCACCCCTGGTCTACATGAAAGCCTGTGAGGCAGACTGTGTCCAGGTTACTTACTCTGTCATGAAGGAAGATAAGAGCCAGCAATATATCATAGATCCCAGCACAGACCTCTGCAGAAGACAATGTTTCCAAAGCCACTTCCAGAGGCTGCACTCGCTCAGTGACAAGATGAATACCATCTGCTTCCACAGTGCAAGATAAAAATCTTAGCAAGCAAGGGTGACGAAGTGTCTTCAAGTGCTTTAAAAATATAAACAGAAGAGTTGGTGAAGTTAATGACTCAAAACAAGATTAACTATAGTTTCATTAACATTGTAGTCAAGTCAGAAAATGTATACTTACATTCAAGGTCTTTTCCAGCTCCTTACCTCTCTCACCTACCCCCCAAGTTTCAAAAAAGGCAGAGAAGAATACGTGACTTGTTCTGACAGTATTCACTTTACCAACATTTACATTACTCTACAGAGAATTCCAGTTCCATTATGGGAGGGTAAGCCCCCCAAGAGCCTAGATCTCCAATGATTATTGCTATAAACTCCTAACAAAGTGCCAAAAACAACTACCTAAGAACTCTGAAAAGTAAACAAAAACATGTAGATTATGGAGGGGAGTCACCCATTGGGGGGAGTTTCCTGGTTCAGGGAATGTCCCTTCTCACAACTGTGCACTGAAGGCAGTCCCCAGGTGCAGAGCAGTGCAGCAAACGTGGCTAAAACTCTGAGAGAAACCTTGCCATCTTTCTGGCCAGGAGAACCAAAGCAGGGCTGAGTATGAGGAAGCTGTCCCAGAGGAGAGAGAGCTAAGGGAGGGAAAAGGAGATGCCCTAGTTATCTGTATACCTACGCAGGTCTCAGACTAACCCCTGAACCAAACACGCATAGGACAGACCCAAACTAGCATGGCAAAGTTTTGAGAAATGAACTAAGGTTTGAACTACCATGCACAGGAAGGCTAGAAGGAGAGTAGTTAAAAAAAAAGAAGCAGCTTGAACCCAAGGGGATTGACTGCCTGCAAACAAAAAACATCAATATTCTCCAGAGGACTACAGCAGAACCAAGGTCTATGCAACAGGACATTCAAAATGCCCAGAATGCAATCCAAAGTCACTCAACTGACAAAGAACCATGAAAATGTGAAAAGACAACCAACAAATATCAACCCCAAGATTGACCACCATATAAACCAGAGAGAGAATTATCAGAAAGAATTTGAAGCAGCTACTATAACAATTCCCCCTAGAGGTAAAGGAAAGAGTTATGAGATAAGTGGTAAGATAGACGTTCTCAGAAGAGATATGAACGTTACATTAAAAGAACTAAATGGAAATTTTGGAAATTAAAAATAAAATATTACTAATAAAAACTTCAATGGATGGACTGAAAAACAGAATGATGATGACAGAGGCAAGAGTCAGTAAACCTGAAGATGTTAACCAATCTAAAGAAGAGGAAAAAGTATTAAAAAAAAAAAAAAAAGATCAGAGCTTCAGAAACCTGGGTGACAACAACAAAAAATTTAATGCATATAATTGGAGTTCCAAAAAAGAAAGAAGAGAGAATTGGGGCTAAAAAATATAATGGCTGAAAACTTCCCAAATTTGGCCAAATACTTAAGTTTACAGATTTAAAAACTTCAATGAACACCAAATAGGATAAATAGAACTACATTATGATCAAACTGCTGAAAATCAAAGATATATTAAAAAATGTTGGAAGCAGCTAGAGAAAAACACCACTGGTGGAGAGAATTAACGAACTGAATGATACTAATTTCTCATAAGAAAACAGAGTCCAAAAGACAAAGGGCAACTATCTTTAAAGCAATGAAAGAAAAAATAAAAGATCAACCCTGAATTCTGTATCTGGCAAAAATATCCTTTAGGAAAGAAGGCAAAATAAAGGCATTTTTGATCATGGAAAATAGAAAAGTTGTTGCTACAAGATTTGCTCTACAAAAATGTTAAAGTTCTTCAAGCTGAAGAGGAAATGATATCAAAGGGAAACTTAGATCTTCAGGATTGAAGGAAGAGCATCAGAAATCAGAAATAATAAACCTCAGGATAAATTTGAAGGCTACTTTTTACTTCTTACTTAAAATATAGACACCTACGTAAAGTAAATATTGTAACACTGCCTGGTGAGGTTTTCAATGTGTGTGATGTATATGTATGCCTGTGTGCTAGTGTGCACATACAGTTGATATATATGTAACCAAAGAACGGCAGGGTTGGGGGCTGGAGACACCTATATGATTCCAAGGCTTCTACATTTTATTTGACTGTGGTACAATACTAACCTAAAGTAGACTATTAAAAGTTAATTATGTATACTGAAGTCCTTAGTGCAACCATTTTAAAAAAATAAAGAAATACAGACCCCAAGTCAAGATAAATTAAAATGGAATACTAAAAAATACTAAAATATTTAACGATCTTTAAAACTTTTTATCATCTAGAAAAGTGATCGTCAAAGGTTTTTGTTCACACACTTCACACCAGTAAAAAGGTTAAATATGTAGCTTATGCATAATATATATGAATGTGTAATATATATTTTGTATATATATGTTTATATATAAAATACATATACTACTATAAAACACCCACAAAATAGAAAGTACCAGTGGTGGCGTAGTGGTTGTGAATCCACCTGCCAATGCAGGGGACACAGGTTCAAGCCGTGGTCTGGGAAGATCCCACATGCCACAGAGCAACTAAGCCCGTGCACCACAACTACTGAACCCGCGAGCCACAACTACTGAGCCCTCATGCCACAACTACTGAATCCTGCACACCTAGAGCCTGTGCTCCTCAACAAAGAGAAGCCACCGCAATGAGAAGCCCGCGCACCCCAACGAAGAGCAGCCCCTGCTCGCTGCAACTAGAGAAAGCCCGTGCGCAGCAATGAAGATCCAACGCAGCCAAAAATAAATAAATGGAAAAAAAGATAAAGTACCAAAATAAAAGATTAAAGGTAAACTTAAATAGACATTCTTGATATATTTTCCCCAAATGGCAATGAATCATACTGCACAATCCCTAGGGTATGGATAACCCACTTTAGAACCTCCTAATATGGAGTATTCTCCCCCAAAACACACACCGTTTTCCTTTGTCCTATTTTCTTAGCAAAGAGTATACACAGATGGATGACAAATATAAAACAATTTTGTGTCTGAACCCGAGGTTAATTCTGTTGAGTTGCTTTCCTTCCCTGGTTGGTTTTATGATAGACTTACCAGATCCAGATTTTTCCAATCTCCACCCATGCTGTTTATCCTCTAAAATTTGACATGAGTAATTTAGGAGATCCATAAGCCAAAATTCCCAACCCAGGTAATCTTATCATGTATTTACAGCAAAACTTAAATGCTGGATTGGTGGTTTTCTTTACAAATCACCCAGTTTTTCTAAAAGAAATTACATGACTTTAAATCTCTGAGCTGTACCCTGTACAATCCACTGGACATTGGGGAAGGCTTGTAAACCAATCATCGAATTGGGAGGAGACTGATGGAAAATTTCACTTGGAGAACAGCCCCCAATATAATATCAGGTTTCATTTTCACAAATAAGCACTTAGTTTGGAATGTTCCAAAACATCTCAGAAGAACATGGGATAGTTTAAGAGCCCATAACCCAGCACTGGTGCAAGTTTTATATCAGTCATCTCACACTTGTCTATTAAACTTCTCCCAGGTAAGATCATAGGAGAATCTTCTGAGTGGATTCATTTGCCCAATTTATTTTCTTATCTCAAATTTTGCCAACTCTGGGGATAGCCCCGATAGAATTTTTTGTTTATTCTTAAGAAGGAAGCGTTACCCTCCCCTGATTTACTCTAATAAACAACAAAGAGTTAAGAAAATTTTTTAAACTAGCAATTATGAACTATTAATTTGTATATCAGCTTTTAAAAACAATCCATACATACCCATATAAATACAGCAAAGGCTCAGATAAGCCAAGAATTGTGCTAGCAGGTTGGTTGAATGCGTGTGTGTTAAATGAAGAGAACTTCCTACAGGTATCTTTGGAGCTGTGGTTTCTAAGTAAAATTATGCAGCCTCTTTCATATTTTCATTATAAGAAACATTTCAAATAATTTGCAAGCCAAACATGAAATACTTCATTTTCGCCTGTTCAGGAAAAAGTCTTCATTCAGCTTTTGTGTCCTAGGGCTCTAATTATTCTCCTTTGGTTTTAAATCTTCTTTTATTCTCCTTCTAATACTCAGGGCATACTAGTAAGTCAGAAGGAATGCTACCTGGTCCAGTGCTGGCATGAAAATACACAGTCAATAAATGTTCACCTGATTAATAAATAATATGTTCCATTTTGCTTCTGTTTAATCCTTTTAATCTTACATGACCAGCAAAATTCTTTATCCGAAGTGACTTCTTGTTTGTTGAATGAAGAACGGGATAACTCTTGCATGATTCTGAACAAAGCTCTTAACTTAGCAAAAACCTTACTTGTCACTCCCCTTTGGCACACACAACGTTATGCAAAAATTATGCACAGGGCTTCCCTGGTGGCACAGTGCTTGAGAGTCCGCCTGCCAATGCAGGGGACACGGGTTCGTGCCCCGGTCCGGGAAGATCCCACATGCAGCGGAGCGGCTGGGCCAGTGAGCCATGGCCGCTGAGCCTGCGCATCCAGAGCCTGTGCTCCGCAACGGGAGAGGCCACAACAGTGAGAGGCCCACGTACCGCCAAAAAAAAAAAAAAAAAAAATTATGCACAGATTCACAGGAAAGGTTAGCAGTTACTAATCAAATAGATCCAAGCTTCTCCTGCTCCAAACAACAGAGGGAACAACAAGAGGTATTTGCTAAGTGTAACTAGGATATTTTCTCAATGAACATCAATTAAAGACATAAATCGCTCTTGTTCTGGTGAAGAAAGGTGACTGTTGTCAGATGAGAGTGACTTGAAAGCATTTGTCCCAAAGTTACTGAATGCCTATCACATCTCATTCACTGTACTAGGTGCTGGTCTTTGAAAAAGGATTCTGAGTAAGGACCTTTATTATTAAATATGAGTAGTACTAGATAATGTGCCAATATGTATACTTATCTATGCCCACACAGAGATGTTAAGTGTGTGACTCTAGTCTTGAATATGAACTATCCCTACTTTGCAGGAATCAGTTATGACTCAGCTACCCGGAGAATTAATTCAAGCCTTAGGGGCTTAACTTTTCATCACCATTCTACCTCTAATTTGCTACTTCACTTTGAAAACAACACAAAGTAGTAGTTCTTAACTATAGCTCAAATTCACTTGCAAGCTTTAAGACAGGGAGAAAGCCTTAATTTTACTCTGTTAAAGAAATAATGACAAAATAACAAGATGCCTATACTAGAGGGCAAGAAATCTTCAGGAAGAAATATTCTTCCTTGTACCCCTAAGATGCAAATCTGAGATAAAGATGGTAAGTATGCTCTGTCTTTAAATGCCCACTGCCTGTAGGTTAGATCATAAACTAGGAATAAAATGCAGAAAGGGAAAGGAATAAAGAATTCTACGTTGTTCCTTAAAAAACTAAACACAGAGCTACCATATGACCCTGCAATCCCACTCCTGGACATGTATCTGGAGAAAAACATGGTCCGAAAGGATACATGCACCCCAATGTTCATTGCAGCACTGTTTACAACAGCCAAGACGTGGAAGCAACCTAAATGTCTATCAACAGAGGAATGGATAAAGATGTGGTACATATATACAATGGAATATTACTCAGCCATTAAAAAGAATGAAATAATGCCATTTGCAGCAACATGGATGGACCCAGAAATTGTCATACTGAGTGAAGTCACACGGAGAAAGAGAAATATAGTATGATATCCCTTATATGCGGAATTGGAAAAGAAATGATACAAATGAACTTATTTACAAAACAGAAACAGACTCACAGACTTAAGAGAACTTATGATTACCAGGGGGGAAGGGATCGTTAGGGAGTTTGGGATGACATGTACACAATGCTATATTTAAAATAAATAACCAACAAGGACCTACTGTATAGCACAGGGAACTCTACTCAATGTTATGTGGCAGCCTGGATGGGAGGGGAGTTTGGGGGAGAATGGATACATGGATATGTATGGCTGAGTCCCTTTGCTGTGCACCTGAAATTATTGCAACATTGTTAATCGGCTATACTTAGATATAAAATAAAAAGTTAAAAAAAAAAAAGATTTCTATGTTGGAAAGCCTGCATTTGGGTGCTGCTGGAATACCCAGGTGGAGATATTCAATAGGCAGGTGGAAATATAGATCTGGAGTTCAGACAAGAGGCTTTGACAGATATTTAGAGAAGAAAGGATGAGACTGTGAAGTCTGAAAACTGTGGTGGGAGCTGGCAAAGGGCCAGTTCCATCTGGTGACCCTATCATACCTGAGGGAGGGGGGAATACTTCCCAAGTTCTTCTGAGCAGCTGACGCTTAGAAGCCTTGTAAGAGAACCAGATTTTGATCATGAGGGGAAGGAAATCATTTTTTTAAAAGCTGACTATGTAGGGAAGTTGATTTACTGGAATGAGGGTTGTAAATAGCATAGAAAAGGACTGGAGAGGGAGAGGAACAGAAAGAAAATGTCAACTTAAGGAAGAGCAATAAAGCATCTTCCAAACAGAATGCAAGCACAGCATTCACCCCTTCTATTTCTTTCTCGTGCCCACACAATGTGGTTCTCAAATATGTTGACCAACCTTTCCACAAAGCAGCCTGAACCCATCATGGAGAAGAGCATAATGTCTCCTAAGGCACTAAACAGAGCACTGACATAGCATCTATATACCTACTCCGATGTGGCTGCTTGGTATAAAGACACCCAGGAATCATTCTTTGAGCCTGTACTCACCATGAAGCCCTAACTAAGCACTTAGATTATATTATAGCAAACCACAGTAACCAAGTTCTGACTCAGGATTTATCATTCCTTATAGGCTATTAGTTAGAAATGAGTCATAATCACCAGTGAGAAAGTTATATACTATTGTAGCTAATGAATTCAAGATAAGATGAGAAGATATGATGGACTTGAAGTATTTCTGATGTTGTTTTGTGGCCAAAGGTTATACTTGCATTTTGTCTTTTTTCAGAGGTTGAACAGTGTGCTGTGATTGTTATTTTTTATTTACAACAGTGGAGGAAGAGTATAATCGCTACCTAACAATATTTGGTAAGGAAAACACTGCTATACCTGCTTGAAACGGTCATTAGAACTATCAGTGGTAGAACTAGGAGCCTGAACTCTAGAGAAAGTGAAAGCAAGCTACCTATGGTGTTTTAATACTTCAGGTATCTCAGAAATCAAGTTCCTAAAACCTGACGCAATGCCATACATTTCTCAAGTACTGTAACCTACATCTAAACTCCTTATCGTTTTGTTGCCATTTCAAATTTCTCAGATTCATAGCTCAGGTATTCAAAGCCACATAATGGCCTGAAGAACATAAGAGACAAGTGTGAACTACTTGAAAAGGCTCAGTCATGGCTCAGAAGAGTATGCAGATACCAAGGGGGAAAAAATCCTCCCTCTCAAGCTCTGCAATTCCTACAGCACGGAAGTCCTCAAACATTGAGCGCAGGTCTTTGTTTTTTTCCTGTAGAACCTTTCTGACCTGTGTTGTTCTACTTTCTTGGTAGTACATACACCATAAAGGTTAATGTAATTTTCAAAAATCTTATGGTCTTATGAAAAAAACCCTAAGAATTGTAAATCGCTAGTACTTAACTAGTAACAGTCGCTCTAAATTATTACTAAAAAAAGTGCAACCTTATCAAATGAAAATAACAGGAAGTATGTCAGATATTAACTGTACATACAGTTAATAAAACAGGGAGGCAAGGCATTTTATCTTTTGCAAAATCACAAAAAAAATTATTAACAATTCCTAGTTGGGATGGAAAAGAGACAAACATGTAGTCTTACCAAAAAGCACAATTACTTAGCAATACAACAGCCAGCTATACTTTTTACCACAGTCCATTAATGGAAAATGCATCCTGAGAGGAACATTTTCCTCAGGAACCACCTTACAACTGTTAACTTCATGCCTGATCAGAGACATCAAATAATGAACCGGCGTGACAAACAAAATGCCAAAATTATATTACTAATATTACATATTATAACATAGCCCTTTATAATCATAAAAAAGGCACAAACCATTTAAACAGACCTATGAAATAGATATCAATGTTTCATTCTTGTTGATAGTACAAAGTGACTCAAGGTACAGATCATAACTCTAACAAAATAAAGATACCAAATCAATCTGAAAAGTATGCCTGCCATAGTAAACAAAGAAGAGTTAATTAATGCGTGCCTTTTTAGAACCTTCCTGAAGATAATCTGAATGCCTGAATACCCAAAGAAGCAGCTAGCTATCCAAGGAAATATCACCTAATACCTTTGTTTTCACTAAATTTGAAAAGACACCTAGGGCTGTTTTCTTGAATTATATTCCAAAGAGGAATCACTTTTTCTAATAAGAGGCCAGGGTCCCCTGACAGCAGGTCAGCCAGCATGGCACTGGCACCCTTTACCCGGAGGAGCACTTAGGAGGTGTGAGGCAGGAGGAAACTGAAGCCACCAGAAGTTAACGCTCTAAGCTCCCTCAGCAAGAACTAGAGCCAAGGTCACATTCTTTCCGGGGCATCCAGTCCCACATTCCAGTTTCACATTCTTTCTGGGAGCATCAAAATGCCTCAGGAAAAGAAAAAAACAGTAGCTACAGTTCCTAAAATATTTCATTTCCAGGTCCACCCTCAATACACCAATTAATATGTTGCCCATACTTAACAGCATTTTTCCTAAGCTAGATTAAGTCCCTTTATCTTCTATGAGCCATGTAAAATCACCTCCCAAACTTTCTTACTAAAAAAAAATAGGATGATAAGAGCTATCACGCTGAATTGCATAAAGCTTTTGGCTTACCTATGGTACTTGACCTTGTTGTGCAAGTTGGAGACATTCCCGTGAAGAAAAGGCAACTATATTTTTAAAGGACATGAATAAAAATACTATTCCTTATGACCTACCCCCTTTGAAGTTTATTAATTTCATATTTTAATAGAAAACAAGATGACAGTAAAAAGTACTAACTATTAGGTAGTCACCTATTACAGTACCTTGGCAGCTTTATTAACCTTGTCTTCGTTTTCTCTCTTATACACAAAAACCGAAGCGAATTTGCCATCCTGCAATATAGCGGGGTAAACAGCAAGTCCAGAGGGTAAGGTGAATGGTGGTTCCTTCAGGGCATAGCTCTTCAAAGCGCTGTTCTCTGAGCCCATCCCTTAGGCTGTGAGGCAGGGGTGCTGCAGCTCCTCCTCAAAGCCAAGCAGACCTGAAAGAAAACAGAAAGCATTTCCTAACATTGAGTCTCTATCTGATCCATGAGCCAGAGATAGCCGAGTACCCAGGCCCAGGCACTCAAACCTACTAGTTCCTACAACCCTCATAAAGTAGGCTGTTTGACAACAGAAATAGTAAATGTTCAGCAAATTACCTGCAATGCTTGTCAATTAACAACTTTCAGCTCTAGAGAAAATACACTTAACCAAACAGACACGCGTGGTTGCCGCTGCTCCCAACCCCCCACTGCGCACACGCAGAACCGTCGCAGTGGAAACGCGATCGAATACAGAGTAAGAGCTCTCCTGCTCCCTAAAACCCGTCATGTCCTGCCTCGCAGAGGAAAGCGTCGCAAAACTCGATCACTCAAAGATGATGAACTTCTGCATGTCTAAAATAACCTACAATTCTAAGGAAAACAATACGAACTGGAGAATATTTCTAAAATGATGAAAAACATGTTAACAAATGGAGAGTGCATATAAACCAAGAAAACACTAAAACACCTGTGGATTAATGGGAAAGGAAACAGACTACTCATTGAACGCAAATGACAATAAACATCAGAAAAAGTACAATCCCGTAACTGTCTTCAGAGTTAGGCTAAAAAGGGGAAAATGCAAAATTGTATAATCTCAAATGTTAAAAAGACAACCCACATGTACATGAGATTCCAGAAAATGCAAACTACTATATAATGACAGAAAATAGATCAGTGGTTGCCTGGGGTGAGGGCAGTTAGAGGGGCCACAGGAGAGGAAAGGATTACAAAAGGGTATAAGGAAACTTTGGGGAGAATGGATATATTCAGTATTTGGATTATGATTATAGTGATGAGGGATCTATAGCTATCTATATATATACGTACACATGCATACATACACACACACACAAGAAAAAAATATGTAAAGTATCAACAGAGGTTTGTTGTGGGCATCAGATCATGGATGATTCACATATATATACAAACATAGACATACATTTGCCTGCACCTCCCAAATCTTCCATGAAAGAGCATATCTTTCTTTACAACAGGGATACAAACTCACATGGTTACAAAAGACAATGCACAGCAATGCAGCAGTATTGGTGGAATAGCAAAAGGCCTACTGTGTGCACAGGCACCTACTGACTGGGCTTGCACTCTGACGGGAGCCACCATCACAAGGTTCCAACCAGGACTGCCATTTCAGAGTTGGCAGGTCACACCATTTACCATAAAGAGCCACGAGCCTGAATAATTATGTGGAAATTTCCTATTTTCCAACATTGGCTCAAATGTTTTTAAACCTGTACAGGCCAAACAACACATGTCTGAAAAGTTTGTGGCAGTCAGTTTTCAGTTCTGGCTTTACCATTATTTAAAAAATAAAAGATAAAAAGAGTTCTTACTAACTCTGGCAGTGTGGTAAACAAGTTGCTAGTTCTAAAAAACAGCCCCAAATTTTATGTGGATCTTTAAAAAAATTCAGTTTAAAATCTGTATCCTTTGGGTAAATATAAACCCAAGAATCATTATATACTGGCCTTCTATTTGGATTTTTTTCCACTTTGGTGAAGTTCCATACAATGCTTACAAGGTTATCAGAGTATGTAATGCTGCTCAAAACAGATACCCCAAACAGAGAATTTCAAGGGCCTACAGACCCACATACGCCACTGAATAAGGAACACAACACGTATAAGGGCTAAAGCTACCTAAAATTGATTTTTTTTTTTTAAACCCAAGAATGTTTCTGAGGATAAGAACTAAGCTGGATTTGTAACAAATTCACTGAGTTCCTACCTGCCAAGCAATTTCTCTTTCTTAAGAATAATAAAGTAAAAAAAAAAAAAAAACGAAAAACAGTATTAAAAAGTATCTCAACTACAGCTGACCCTTAAAAAACGCAGGGGTTAAGGGCACCAACACCCTCTCAGTCAAAAATGTGAGTATAACTTTACAGTTGATCCTCCACACCTGCAGTTCCACATCTGTGGATTCAAACAACACAGGGGATTCAACTAACTGCAGATCGTGAAGTACTGCAGTGCATATTTATTGAAAAAAATCTGCATATAAATGGACATGTGCAGTTCAAACCCATGTTGTTCAAGGGTCACCTGTGTATGTAACACTCACCTTTCTACTGGGACTACAAATAAAATTAGCATTTATGTAGGATCTTGGAGAAAAGCAACTACCGTTAATTCCCCTATTCTGGAGATGGTGTGGTGCCTGCAGCAACCTCCCACTTCCCACCCCAGTCGGGAGGGTCATGTTTAGCACCTGCCTTCTTCTTGGGCACACTTTATGGGTCAGGTGCCTACCCTGGGCCAAAGGGCAGTCAAATCACACATTAGCCATCTCTAGGACTCATGACCTGGATGAAGAGCTAAGCTGGACAATCACTGTCTGCCCCAGGAATCTGAATGAACGTGAGATATTTTTGTCTGTTAGCAGCACAGCTGAAGGTAAAAGGATGCCATAAGGTAGAGTCAGGGCTATGGCAAGCCAAAGCCATGTAAAAGCAGAAACCTGGCAAGTACAGAGGAAGCCAGCTGGCAGCAGGAGAAGGAAAAGCAAACACTGGGAGAGTAACTTAGATTTAGAGAGTCACATTACTACTCCAACTCGAGGCTACAAGAAGCCCAGCTTCAAATCCACTGCCTCACTGCCACCCTTACAATCATGGGTAGCCTGAGGCACACCTGAGGTAGCCTGAATGGGTCCATGTTCTTTGAAACCAACTGCCATTTCATAAGCAGGAGTTCTTTTTAACTCCTCTTGTCTGAAAAACCAGTCAGACTAAAGGAAGGCGCTAGAGAAATGCTACTTCGAAAAGTGTATATCTGAAGCTAGTCTAACTTCCTTCTCTCTCTTAGCCACAAAATACAGCTTTCCAAAATCCACACATAAGGAATTGCTGCAAGAAAATAATCTTGGCAGAAAATCATGCCATTCACTTAGCTTTAATATTACTCTCCAAAGGAGATAAAATGGTCCCAAGAGTCAGGGACACGCTCTGGCTGAATGAATGGCAGTCAGCAGAGGTACAGCAATGGACAATCAATGAGCTTAGTCATTTCTAAATAGCAAAATACCTTCTTGTGGGAATACTGGGCCTTACAACACCTATTAACCTTTCATTTAATATTCTGAATTCCACTATAAGATCATTAACAATATAGGGTTATAAAAAATTTAGGAAGAGGTTAAAACTGACAGTTTTTCTTAGCAGTATGTATTTGGGTCTAAGACCCCAAGAAATGCCACTTAAAAATTTAAAGGAATGAACCCCTTCCTTGTGAGAACTCAAAAGGCTGACATTTTATTGGTTTGAAAGCATGATTAATGTTGACAGAAGTCTACTGATACCATCCTGCAATGCTTACAGAGTAGCTGGGTTATAGCCTATGTCCAGTGAAAACTTCATTAGGGGGGAAATAATAAGATGTGCTGTTGGGCTTCCCTGGTGGCGCAGTGGTTAAGAGTCCGCCGGCCGATGCAGGGGACACGGGTTTGTGCCCCGGTCCGGGAAGACCCACATGCCGCGGAGCGGCTAGGCCCGTGAGCCATGGCCGCTGAGCCTGCGCGTCCGGAGCCTGTGCTCCGCAACGGAAGAGGCCACAACAGAGAGAGGCCCGCGTACGGCAAAAAAAAAAAAGATGTGCTGTTGACTGCAATCTGATGGTCTTAAAGCAGTAATTCTTAATTTCACAAAACTGTACCCTAAGAGGCACAAAAACGGTTGCTATCAACAGTGCTTTAAAAATGATAATTCAGCTAAATGGCCTTACTGAAATGTAATACTGATAAACAATAACACCTGGACTTCCAAAATACTCTTTTTTGTTTTAAGGAGTAAAGGGGAAAACACCAAATCGTTTAACTTTGAAATTAAAAAGTCACAAAAAGGCAGAAAAGGATATTTTAATATTAGCATGGGTATTTTGCAGAGTTTACCATCTCCACTCTATAATAAAATGTGGGGTACACAGTTTCTGACTTGAATACGCATCATGGTCTTCTCTTTAAAATGTTGTTCACCTATCTTCCTCCACCCTTTTGCTTCCTTGGGCAGCACATCAAGTTTCTGGGCCACCTGTGGGACTAAAAGCCCTTGTCTAGGTCACTGGGCAACTCATACACTAAACTAAGAAATCAGTGTCCTCTGGGGAACTCTCTCTTCCTCTGTTCTTTTCACAGCAAGTAACTGAGATGATCGTTACCCTAGCTCCCTCAGCTTGGAAGTTTCAACGATAAGGGCTTGCACTGTGAGTTCAAAGGACACCCGGTATTGATTGGTATTTCGTTATCTAGTGATAACATGACTTCGAGCCCTTTGCTTTGCTCTGTTTCACGTATATATTCCCTATATTGAACTCAATCCGGCGATACATTATGAAGCCTTTGCGTACCGAAAGAACTACGTATGATTTCTGCTAAGACATGGGATGTTATGTGGGTATGCACACAGGGATTCCAAAATTCAGGACCCAATTCTGAGTATTCACACGGTTTCCTACATACGATTTTCCCAGAACTGTTTCATCTTCATTCTAAACAAAATGCACTACCCAAAGACAAGAACCAGCTGGGCCTCTGGGGGCCTGGCACTGGTCTCGGATCGAGAATGAAGGCAGTATCCCAGCGCGGGCGCAACCCCAGGCTCCCCGCGGCTCGGCCCCGCCGCTCACACTCGCCCTCCCCGCGGCAAGGAGGACGGCCCGGGCGCGGGGGTTGGGGGCCAGCGGGGTCTGACCGCGACTCCCCGGGGTCTCTGAGGGGCGGTGGCGGCGCTCCCGCTTAGCTGGCCCCTCACCTTCCACACCTGCCCGCGAGGCCGGGCTCCGCGGCTTCCTTCGACAGCTCCGGCCGCCAGCGCCGCCCCGGGCGGGGGTCGCCCGCGAAGCCCAGGTTAGCAGGGCGCCCCGCAAAAAGCAGGAGGAGACTGCACTGAGGTGGGGAGCAGAGCTCAACCGGCAGCGACACCACGCCGAGCTCGCCCACGAGCGGGCCCCAAGCGCGGACCCGCAAGCGGGGCGCGCGTTCCCTACCCCCCACCCCCGCGCCTCGCTCCCGGCCCGGCCCCCTCCCCAGCGGCCCAGGCCCGCACTGACGGAGGACGCAGCGCGGGGCTGCCTGTTACCTGTGGGAGGGCGGCGGGGGAGGCGGCCGAGGATCTTAGCTTCGGTCCCCTCTTCGCCCCCTGTTGACACCAATCACCCTCGCCTCCCCCGTGATACTCTGGCCACTACACCCACAATCTTCTGAGGTCCGGTCTCTCCGGCACCATAGAGACGGGTCCGGAAGCCGGACAGGATGCCAGCCTTCAGCCCTACAACGCCACCACTGGGGCGAAAGACCGGAACCGAGATGAGGAGGCCTCGCCGGTGATTCTCAGGCCGGTGCCATCTTGAGTATGGGCGGCGGTGCCGGCCCAGCGGTTCACTCTCTGTCCCCAGCCGCCTAGTTGGTCAGTGAAGATGTCTCTTTTCTTGGGCTCTGAGTTGAACGTGCAAGTTTGCCTTGATTTTAATTTTCAGCCTTTTAACCGCACGGTCTTAACTGGATTTCCGCCCGAACCTAAAATGGCCGCCGGTCGCCTCTGACAAATAGAAAAGGGGCAGGACGGAGAATAGGAGTACTCTGGGAATTGGCGAGGACTTTTGGGAGAGTGACGCCGCTCACCCCGCAGCCCTGATTGGCTGCGCTGCGTGGGCGGAAGTCGTACGGATCCGCTACTGAAGCTGGCAGAGGTAGAAGTGATTCCGGCTGAAGCCCTTTCAAATGGGAATTGTGAAGTTATGTTTAAACCAGCGGAGAGTCAAATTGGGACTATTAATATTAATAGTTCTTATTATTAATATTGACGGTTTCTACTTAATAGGGTGTTGTGCGAATAGAATGAATATACGTGATAGTTTTAAAACTACATGGCTCAAACCCAGTATATTTTCTCTGTTATCTTGTATGTGAGCCTAGTAGTAGTCATCGCTACTATTTAATGCTTTTACAACCTCACAGTTCACAGATGACCTAAATCACTTGATCACCTAAAAGTTTTAAATTCTTTCTGGTCTGTTACAGTATGGATAAGGATCCCACAATTTCTTCACTAGATTAAGTGAAAGCAAATATCAAACCCAATTTTGTCCCTTATTCAGAAATGAATATTTATTAGAAAGCAGGCACAAATAGTATTTAATCTGTCCTATTAGCTTGTTGAAAGTCGAGCTCTCCGTCCTAGGTCAGCACTGTCCTATAGAAATATAATTTCAGCCACATATGTAATTTAAATTTTTCTGGTAGCCATATTTAAAACAGTGAAAAGAGGGGCTTCCCTGGTGGTCCCGTGGTTAAGGCTCTGAGCTCACACTGCAAGGGGGCATGGCTTCCATCCCTGGTGGGGGAACTAAGATCCTGCATGCCACCTGGCACAGCCAAAAAAACAAAAACGACAACAACAACAACAACAACAACAAAAACAGTAAAAAGAATGAGGTGGGGTCAATTTTAGTATTATATTTTAACACATAGCCACAAGGTTGTCATTTAAACACGTACCCAAAATAAAAAATAATTAATGAGATATTTTACATTTTTTGTACTGTCTTCAAAATCTGATATGTATGTTTTACAATTTAAACTGACCATATGTCAATGCTCAAAATTCACATGTAGATAAAGATTACAGTATTGGAGGGTGCAGTTGTAAATGGTTTGACCACCACCTTGCACTAGAAAGCTGAGAAACAGAAGTACAGGGCTGCAGAGGCAGGATTCTGTTATCATCATAGTTACCGCCAGCATCTGGCAACCAGAAACCTTCCAGACCCGTGGTAGAGCCAGGACCAATAGCGATGAAGCCTCAGGTGGCATCTCCAAAGGCTGAGGACTCGAATTTTTAGTGCTCACCCTGTTTATTCAGGAGTGGAGAGCATTCTTTTGAGAGCTCATCTCTAGTATTCATCATGATAATTAATAAGCTGTTATTTTTGTCAATCAAAAGCTCACCCTGTTTATTCAGGAGTGGAGAGCATTCTTTTGAGAGCTCATCTCTAGTATTCATCATGATAATTAATAAGCTGTTATTTTTGTCAATCAAAAGCCATTTCTGGCACTCACTCTGATAATTAGCAAACATCTGGTGTCATCAGAGGTCAAGGTGACTAAAGTATTTGTAGCTCCATCTCTGGAATGTGACCTTTCTGGTATGATGCTAGCTAACTACTCCTGGAGTGTGGATTCCTAATACTAGAATGCCAGCAACTTCTAGGGCATAGCTTCAACCAAATGACCCACACAGAATATTACACTGTCCTGAAGAAATTTAAAGTCGATCACAGACATCATGATACCCATGTTGTAAGGAATATTGGCCTGCTTTGTAAGCTGTAAACACTATGCAAATGTTATAGAACTTACAACCTTATGTTACAGACTATGTTTATTCCACGGATATTTGACACACCTTTTCTGAGCCATGCCCAGTGCTGACCACTAAGAAAAGAAGGAGGAAAAAGATAACAGTCATTGCAGAAAAGTGGGTTCTTTGAGGGGCCCAAATAAAACTTTTCTTTTTAAGTGATTGAGGAGGTGCTAGTAGCTTAGTGCTAGGAATGTTACTTTCGTTTTTTGAAGTGCCCTGTGCCACCACCAGCAAATAAGTTTCAATCTACTGTGTGTGAAGCTGAGTATGAGCTAAATGACTCTACACTTCCCTGGTTACTCTGAGGCTTTTCTGACAATTGTATATACTTTAGAAGTGCTCACTATATGCCAGCCTCTGCTCTAGAGACTGGGGAAATATCACAGCAAACAAAACAAGATAAATTTCCTGCCCTCACAGACCTCCCGTCTTGGAGGGGCGGTGGAGGGTGGGGGCAGCCATAAGGGGAGAGATAGATGATATATAAACGAATAAAGATAAATTCAGATAATGGTAAATTCCATGAAAAAAATAAAACAAGGTAATAATAGCAGCTAACACGTGTTGAGTATTTACTGTGCGTTAATTCATTTAAGCTGTACATAAATCCCACTTTACCCATGAGAAAACTTACGCACAGAAAGGTTAGGTAAGCTGACCAAAGTCACACAGCTGGTAACGGCATGGAGTAGTTTGCCTACAGATTTCATTTTCTTAACCATTATACAGTACTGCCACCCCAATGTGATAGAGAGTAATAGGGTAAGGGGGAAGACAGGAGAGGAAAGGGAGTTATTTTAGACGGATCTCCAAAGATGGCCTTTTTGAAAAGGTGATGTTTGATCTAACACTGAATGATGATTATGTGAAGATCTATGGCACAGAGACAGCAACGGAAAACATTCCAAGGCAGGAACTAGCTTGATGTGTTTAAGGAACAGGAAGAGGGCCAGTGTGGCTGGAGTGTAGTAAGTAAAGGGGAGAGTGTTCACGAAGAGGCCACTAGGACAGGCTGGGGCTTGAGGGTCATGGGAAGGCGTTTTTGGAAACCACTGAGGATTCTAAGCAAGAGAGTAACAATCTAGTCTACAGTTTTAAAAACTCACACTGGCCATTATATGGAGAATGGATCATAAGAAGAGAGAAAGGCAGCAAGGAGACGGGTTAGGAGACTTTAGCAATAGTCTATGTGGGGAATAATAGTGACTTGGGCTACAGGACAAGGAATAGAGATGGACTTAAGTAGTCAGAAATATATTTTGGAATAGAGGGCTATGGACTGAACTGTGTACCCCCAACTCCACCCCGCAACTACCATCACCAAATCTAGATATTGAAGTCCTAAACCCTAATTCATGTATTGAAGCCCTAACCCCATTTTGGGATGGGCCTTTGGTAAATAGTTAGGGTTAGGTGAGGTTTTGAGGGTGTTATCCTCATAATGGGATTAGTGCCTTTATAAGAAGAGACACTGGAGAGCGTGCTCTCTCTCTATCTCTGCCACATGAGGACAGGGTGAGAAGGCAGTCATCTGCAAGCCAGGAAGAGAGCTCTCACTAGAACTGTGAAGATACAAATGTCTGGTGTTTAAACCCCTGAGTCTATGGTATTTTGTTTGGGCAGTGCAAGCCCACTAAGACATAGAATGAATGGTATTAGCTGGTAAGAGGAAGTGAAGTAAGGGATCAAGATTGCTGCCTTGGGTTTGGCTCTAGCAATTGGATGCATGGTGAAACAATAACAAGTTTGCAGAACCTGTTAAACATCCAAGTGGAGCTATCAAGTCAGCTGATGGCTATAAAGGTTTGAAGAATCACTGCAGAGGCCCAGACAGGAGATAAAAATTGGGGCATCATGGTCTCATCAAGTTGTAAATATCCTGATATGCTGTATGATTCAGCTATACTCAACACAGAGAAAAACAACTATAACACAACACAGTATCTGAACAAATAAATTTAGAGACTACTGCCTCTCTGTGTAAGATTCTTTGTCCATATATAATATTCTTTACTGTAGATTCCATATAACCAGTTGATTCTCACAGTATGCTTTCATTGATTTTTGCTATACTCTTGTGTTCATGGTCAACCTATGGTTGCAACTGGTGAATGAGTGTAGTTTTGATGTGAAAGGTGGTTACTATTTTCATTTATATTAACAGTTAAGATGAAAATGAAACAAGAAAGGCAATATTGGTTGTGAGTTATCTTCTATGCTGAAACCAGTAATATTTTTGAATACTAGAAGAATATTTCCTCAATTTCTAATGTAGGTCAAGAAAGACTTTTAAGTTTAATTTGCATTGTTATTAACATTCTTCATCACTTTATTAACTCTAGACAATCAACAAAACATTAAACAAAGTCCTGATTTGTAGCATTTGCTGATTTCTATAGTGTAAATATTCCCACCATGGCCAACTTCAAGGTACCAATATGACATAACTGAATGCAGAGTTGGGAAGAAATGTGCTCCAACATTATATAGTATTTCCATCATAGAGCTATAAAAGATGTAAATAACCTCTGAGCATAGATAATAATATAATATAGTAAAATAAGTTTTAAGTGATGAGTTCTTAGTCTTTCTTACCTTTAAAAATATAATCTATTTAATAATGAGTTTATGTAATTTAATTTTTAACAAGGGCTATGTTTAACAACTGGCTTCCAAATTTTCTGAACATTTAACAGTTGGCTCTCAGGAGCCTATATGAGCCACACTCATGAGTGCACGCTAACTAGGTATTCATACTTTCTGGTTCTACTTCTCTTTGTAAATTAATAAATTACTTCTTGCTTTTTTTTTAAATTAATTAATTTTTTGCTGTGTTGGGTCTTCACTGTTGCACATGAGCTTTCTCTAGTTGCCATGAGCAGGGGCTACTCTTCATTGAGGTGCACAGGCTTCTCATTGCAGTGGCTTCTCGTTGTGGAGCTTGGGCTCTAGGCACTCAGGCTTCAGTAGTTGTGGCACACGGGCTCAGTAGTTGTGGCTCGTGGACTCTAGAGCGCAGGCTCAGTAGTTGTGGTGCATGGGCTTAGTTTCTCTGCAGCATATGGGATCTTCCAGGACCAGGGACTGAACCTGTGTCCCCTGCTTTGGAAGGTGGATTCTTAACCACTGCGCCACCAGGAAAGTC